GAGCCCCTCTCTATGGGAGCGTACTGGTCGGTGAGAGGCTATTGGTAGCAGAAGGTGGTCTCGTAGATACCCCGGTCCGATGCCATGGAGCGCTCTAAAGGTGGTAACCAAAACCTTGAAGCACACCCGGAAGACCACCGGGAGCCAGTGCAGCTCGCGCAGGAGGGGGGTCACATGGGAGTGCCACGTCGCTCCCATAACCACCCGCGCGGCCGCATTCTGGACCAGCTGGAGCCTCTGGGTGCTCCTCAAGGGGAGCCCCATGTAGAGAGCATTGCAGTAGTCCAAGCGGGAAGTAACGAGAGCATGAGTGACCGTATTTGACGAGTCCCGATCCAGAAAGGGACGCAACTGGCGAATCAGGCGGACCTGATAAAAAGTCCCCCTGGCCGTCATGTGCTCTTCTAAAGACAGCCGTGAGTCCAGGAGGACACCCAAGTTGCGAACCCTCTCCGTGGGGGCCAGTGACTCGCCCCCAATAGTCAGTGATGGCACCAACTGACTATATCGGGATGTCGGAAACCACAGCCACTCGGTCTTGGATGGGTTGAGCCTGAGTCTGTTTCTCCCCATCCAGATCCGCACGGCCTCCAGGCACCGGGACATCACTTCAAGGGCATCATTGGGGTGGTCCGGGGTGGAGATGTACAGCTGAGTATCATCAGCGTACTGGTGGTACTTCACCCCGAAACCACGGATGATCTCACCCAGCGGCTTCACATAAATGTTGAACAGAAGGGGCGAGAGGACCGACCTTTGTGGCACCCCACATACAAGGGGCCTCGGGGTCGACCTCTGCCCCCCTGTCAACACAGACTGCGACCGGTCAGACAGAAAGGAGGAGAACCACCGTAAGACGGTGCCCCCCACCCCTAACTCCTCTAGCCGGTGCAGCATGATACCATGGTCCATGGTATCAAAAGCCGCTGAGAGGTCTAATAGGACCAGGACAGAGGAACAACCCCTGTCCCGAGCCCTCCAGAGATCATCAACCAACGCGACCAATGCCGTTTCCGTGCTGTACCCAGGCCTGAAGCCCGACTGGAACGGATCCAGATACGACAATTCATCCAGGTACTGGGGGAGCTGTCGCGCTACCACACTCTCAACAACCTTCACAACGAAGCGAAGGTTGGAGACTGGACGATAATTTGCCAACACTGCCGGGTCCAGGGAAGGTTTCTTGAGGAGAGGCCTCACCACCGCCTCTTTCAAGGCGGCAGGGAAGACACCCTCTCTCAAGGAAGCATTTATAATCCCCTGGAGCCAGCCTCGTGTAACCTCCCGAGAGGCCAGCACCAACCAGGAGGGACACGGATCCAGTAAACATGTGGCTGCGCTCAGTCTACCCAGTATCCTGTCCACGTCTTCGGGCGTCACAGAATCAAACTCTTCCCAGATAATACTCACAAGACCTGCCTCTGTCCTCCCCGCTGAATCTACCCAGTCAGAGTCCAGATGTTCCCGAATCTGAGCGATTTTGTCATACAGATACTGTACAAAATCCTCGGCTCTACCCTCCAAGGGGTCCTCCCGTGCTTCCTGGTGGAGCAGGGAGCGGGTCACCCTAAACAGGGCGGCCGGGCGATTATCTGATGACGCAATAAGAGTGGCAAAATAGTTATACTTCGCCACTTTTATCGCCACCAGGTAGGTCTTAATATGAGACCTTACCAGTGTTCGGTCAGTTAGTTCGGTCACCAGTTAGTGGCAAAATGCATACTTTCCATGTGTATCAGGCTACAACTCTCACCACATTTCTTTGCTATACTGGGAGGGAATATTATAGTCAATGGTTCTTCAAAGCACTAGGCTGTAGATAGTTTTTATAATGTAATGGCCAATCCTACAGAATCCTGTAAGGAATCCTATGCAATCTTTATAGGACTCTCTGCATAACAAACTTTTCAATAAAAAATAAATATCCATTCCCAGTTCTCAAGTTCAGTCTCGGGACATTACATTTTAAATGATTCCCTTCCTAAATGGTCAAAATGATTGGTTGATTACTTATGTGCCCACAAGTTGGTGTTTATCTTAGCGACTGCACAGATTTTCTCCAGAGTCATCTGTCCTAACCTATTTTTGCAGGTCTTTCAATAGTGTATCCGTTGCCATATAAGCGAGTCCTACTTTCCTCCTAATGAACCTCTTCTTTCTCCTTCTACCTTTGCAACATAGATTTTCCTGGGGAACTAGGTCTTCACATAATATAAGGTATGATGATTTGAGCCTGGTCCTTTGTGCCTTGAGTGAGAACTCTAATTTGATATCTTTGATGATCATTTGTTTATTTTCTTGGTTATCCATAGTATTCTCAGGAGTCTAGGAGAACACAAAGTTCAAAATGTCAGTACACTTTCTATCCTGAGAGTTCAAAGTCCATCTTTTGCTTCAATAAAGTGTCACAGCAGAACTGTTGTCTGCATGATTCTGATCTTTATAGATAGAGAAAGATCCTGATACTTGCATATCTTTTCCAACAACTTCATTACTACTTTTTCAAATCTTGCTTGCAGTTTATGTCTTGACTGCTGGTTACTTTATTATTGACAGCCTAAAAAGCAGAAGTCTCCAGAACGTCAATATTTTTTGTCAGTTCTAAGGTTGATTGCTGTCTCTATTGTCATTAGTCATCTTCATTAACCTTGTTCCATTTTTTTATTGATATGCATTTTCAGTGTCACAAGTGTCACAAGATTACTGCAGATAATTAATCCTGTATTTCTTCATCCAATTTTAAAATCATATTGATCTCCTATTTTGGGTTCTCTCAGTATATATTCCACATATATTTGTAGGCTTAATGAATAAGGAGAGAATATACAGCTTTGGGTCAAAATGATACAACTTCAAATCCTGTGTTATGCGGATCTTTCTATTGTCACTAAACAAAAAGCCCTACATTTTTTTTAATTTGAAAAAAAAACAAGGGATCTTCTGGCAGATAATGAAACTGCAAGAAGAAATTCTACCATTGAACTATTTATATCACTTTTTTTTTATGAATTACAATATTCCTGAACAACTAACTAATAGGATTCCTACCAATTCTATTACAAAATAGAATGTTTAGTTTCACTTCCTTCCCTTGAAAAAAAGCTGTAGCAACATCAGCTGCAGAAAAGGGGGTATAGCTCAGTGGTAGAGCATTTGACTGCAGATCAAGAGGTCCCTGGTTCAAATCCGGGTGCCCCCTGTCTGTGCTTTTTTTTCCACCCCTTTTTTCTCTTTTAATACTTAAATTTAATATTCACAGCAAACAGTAATGCTCACCAATCAGAATGTAGTAGTAATGTATAAATAAATGTGTACAATTTCTGTAATTAGAATTTCTGGAAATCTTAGATATACATATGATTCTAATAGCTTTACCCTCTCAAAGTCAAAATAATTAATTCCTCAAGACAGCAGTTCTTGTTCCTTGTTTCCCTGATGTTTTTGGTCGGAACTAAAGAATGAAAGAAGCAATTACGCACTTACAGAACCAGATCAGCTTTCCTCTTGGCTACGATTTAGTGCCTGCAGTGTTTTCATGCACGAACTGAGCTTCCTTATGTGTGTGCTACGTTGTTAATATAAAGCCATAAGAACAGCCCTCTAGGTAAATTGCAAAGCAATAATCAGCACATGAGGGAAAAGATCTTTCCCCGGGCCCTCCTCCTTTTCTTTTCAAAGGATTCGGCTCCATCTGCATCCATCAGGAAGCAGTGATTCCTCACAACTGCAAGATAAACCATACGGCTTGTATTGTGTTGGCACGATTCTTCTGTGCTTCAACACCCAAACAGCTAGCAGGAAAAATATCTACCAGTCATGGTATTTCTTCAAGAACAGGCTAGGTCTGGTTACAAGTCCCTTTACTTTTAGTTTCCTGCCTATTCTCTCCTAGGCTCCATTTTGACTGTACACATAAAATTCATCATCATGAAATAGATGAGAAGCATGAAGAGAGATGGATCAAGCAGCACAATGATTTAGGACTAAGGGTGGGTCTGATTGCAGGATTTCCTTATCTCCTAGGTTCCATTTTGACTACATCTGCTGCATAAAATAAATTATAGCAATGTCACAATCATGAAAGAGTTCAAACTCATGAAGGAGACAGACTACAAACTGTATGTTTATTTAGGATTTTTCTCCTCTTCCTTTTCTTCATAAAGGAAATGAATGCTTTCTTCTGAAGGAGATCAAGAGGAGGAATATTTGTCCACCAGTGCACTGTTTCAGCTTTGTGGAAAAATCCTTTAAGAGCGTAGAATGAAAGCTGTCACTGTAATGCTGACAGAGTAATCTAGCCCTACTACATGATTACCATTTTAATGTACTGGTCAGTGATTTTTCCACAAAGGATGTTCCTAATGTTGATATATGGCAGGGAGCTGCCTGCACACAGTTGGTGTAGGTTGTTGGACTAACTCAAAGGGAATCTTCATACTAAATTTGAAGGATTACCAATACAGTGCTGCTGTGCATAGATCTTTAGAGTCAAAAGTACCCTAGTGACAGGCTGATTGCAGATGGAAGGGGAGAGATCATGTCACATAAGGCTAAAATGAATCACAGTATTTACATATTATAATGACTAGGCTTATTTTCAACTTTTGTCTGGTCATTTCATTCCCTCAAACTTTACCTATGAAAATTTTATGGTTTTCCTCAATACCTAGAGGCACATTCTGGATGAGTTGCCATCTAGATTCATCTAAATGTTACAACAATCTAGTTTTATTGGCAAAAACAGAGCACTTATATGTCATTATTTTCTTCAAGGTTTGATTTTTGGTAAGCTTATACTTGTACAGCTTCACCTGTCCTCATTTTTGGATAATTCTCACTATCAACCTTCCTCTGTTGACCTTACCAGCAAGAATGACCCTACAAACATTCACCTTCTCACCAACTTCACTGTCATATCATGAAACTTACTGAACTATGCCACTAATTTATTTCCAGAGGAAGAGGGAATGGCATAGTAAAACAACACAAAACAAAAACAACAGAATTGAGGTTATTTATTGGTTTATAGCAGGTTCATTGAAATGCATCTTCTAACATGAACAGATGACATATGTAGGGAAATATTTGATTCGGATATACATGATGATGTATGTGATGATAATATAAATGTCAGACAATGACATTTAAGATATTCTAAACATCGTTTCCTTTTTGACGTTGAAGTGGCCATTAACAAGTTACATTGGGATCTGACCTGTGCTGAATGAAAGTCCTATCCTTGAGTTGGCAAAAAACAATTATCAACATTATATTTGTTGTCTGTATGTTGACCCCTACTCTGTGTCTTTTCTGAGACTATTGAATGCTCTCAAAAGTAGAGAAATGTTTTACAATGTTGCCAATTTCTATAAATGGTAGCAACCAGCATTTCAACTATTCCTCCAAATGTTGGCAGAACTCTGCAAACGTAAACTCAGCAAAACATAGCTTGATCCATGTACGATTCCTTTAGGAAAGTTATAGGAAAATAATATCTAAGCAATATAAGCTTGTGCAGAAAATGTGACTGTTTTCAGTGAGAGAACTCTGCAATTACACACTCTGGAATGCATCGTTTTACATAGTTAATTTTTAAATTATGTTGCAATTATTCCAGCAGTTATTTTGTAGTGAAACAGAATTAAGGCTTAGAGTTATGGAAGCTGTAGTTTAGTATATCTGTAAGGTTAAAAATTAGAAAAGACAGATTTTTGTCAAAAGTGGACAATGATTTCATTATCTGCATTGCATGTATGTGTATTAATCTTTTTCAATAATGCTGCTGATTACTATGAGCAGCCTAAGCAAGCAAGATTCAACTTGGTCAATAAATACTTCCTTTTCAAACTGAAATGGTTGAAGCTATAATTTTTTATTATGTTTACATGAAAGTGGTAGTGATAAAGGGTAGTATAGGAATATGTAAACAAAAATCTGTGCAAAGGGCAAACCAGGAAAGGTCCCAGTCTGGAAGTACTTGGGTGAACAATAGATATTCTAGTTAAAGCTTAGCTATCTAGCATTCAGATGTATCTTCGTAAGAAAAGAGATTTTTGTCATACATTAATATTAGCAATAGAAGATATTGAATACATGAAGAGAATTATTTATTACATGTCTGAATGAGAGGGAAACTCACTCTATATACATCTGAATGGTTTCAAGTTCAACCTGCAATTGTGCAAGAGGAATTTACTGATGCAATCAGCTGTTCATTCCTCTATAATCTCCTAATTTACACTGTACACATTATTTTCATATAGAAAGAAAATATGAGTTAAAAGAACTGTAGAATCGGTTTTGCAGAAACTGGAAAATGTTTCAGAATCAAGTAAATAATGGATAGGGGAATTGCTATCAAAGACACCAAGGCCCAGGGGTTACGAGCTGTAATCATAGGCGATTGTCACTTAACTACCCATGTGAGTTTTGGTATAGGTAGTCCTCGACTTACAACCATTTGTTTACTGACCATTAAGTCACAACAGCAGAGAAAAAAATGACATCATTTTTCACACTTACAACCATTGCACTATCCCCATGATCACGTGATCAAAATTCGGACATTTTGCAACTGGCATATATTTATGAGGATTGCAGCGTCCCAGTGATTATGTGATCACCTTTTATAATATTCTGATAAGTCAATGGGGAAGTCAGATTCACTTAACAACCATATTACAAACTTAACACCTGCAGTGATTTGCTTAACAATGGCAGCAAGAAAAATAATAAAATGGAGCAAAATATCTAACATCTGCCTTGCTTAGCAAAAGAAATTTTGGGCTCCATTGTGGTCTTAAGTCGAGGACTATCTCTATATAACTCCCTCCTTTTTTTTGCTTGGCTTTAACTACAAATAACAAATGCCATAGCAAAAATATTTCTGACTGCAGACAAAAAGTACTAACGATAATACTATGTCCTCCTTCCCCGTTCTACCTTCTCCAGCACGATTATATCTCACAGTCACTAATCCAGATGCAAGACTAGAACAGTCGAGGGGGCGCTCGCTTCTGTCATCCTCAGGATAACAGTCATTATGCCAAATCATCAGCGATGCTCTATGAAGAAGAGGAACCACAGAGCCATTTATGACACAAGTCCCCTCTCCTCTTTCCCTTGTTCTCAAATTGTAGACTGCTCCTGCAGAAAGCCTTCCGACCCAGAAGGAACTCGCTCCGCTTCCGAAGCCAGGGCTGCCTCACGCAGTACGCTCACATGCTCTTCCGCCGCGGACAAGGATTGGTCGATCCAGTCCATGCGGCTGGGGAACTGACATGCATGCCGAGTGATCAGCACCAAGTGACTCACCGAGAGCAGCAGCGCCGTCGTCCTGCAAAATAAAAAGAAATTGGGGTGGGGTTGATGAACCAAGCCCCGCCTTTCCTATTCCGCTGCAAAGGCTCTTCCAACTTTTTTTTTTAATTTAAGGCACGCATGCGCATGTGTTAAATTTGTTAAATTGAAAGGTATTATAATACTAATACTTAAGTACAGTGGTGAAATCTGAACAGTTTACTACCAATTTACTACCAATTCGCTGGCTCTGCATGTGCGCGCACTATGCATGCCAAAAGGGGGCATGGGATAAGTAGAAGAGCGCGCGGGAGTGTGTGTGATCAGCTGTGGCGCACGATTTTTTTTTACTTTTACTTTTTTTACTTTTTTACTTTTAAAAGCATTTTTTTTACAGCCTATAGGTTGTAAAAAAATGCTTTTAAAAGTAAAAAAAAGGCTCTGACCATCAGGCAGCTCAGCTGGGATCTTCAGTGTCTTTTTTTAACCTTTTAAAAGCATTTTTTAAAAGAAGCGGCAAGCAGGCGACTGGGCAATTGGGTGGGCATGGGTGAGGGGGCCAGGGTGTTTTGCTACCGGTTCTCTGAACCACCTGCCACCATCGCTACCCGATCGGCCGATCTGGTCTGAACCAGGAGCATTTCACCTCTGATTAAGTACCATATTTGTTTATTCAATTTGATTATTTAACATTAATATTATAACATTTTTAATACATCTCTAGAACTTTTGCACAGAGCCAGTTTGATGTTAAGGCTTCAGGCTAGAAATTGAGAGGCTGAATTCTAGTCCAACTTTAGATACAAAGCTAGCTGGGTGATCTTGGACTAATCAAGGATGCAACTGCAAACCATTTCTGAAAGAAGTCAACAAAAAATACAGGAAAGCAGGCAAGATTAAACACAAGAAGAAAAAAAGCACATTTGCAGCGCAATCAATCAAATGGGAGGAGCTCTTGGCTCAATGAAAAGTGGATGGTGTAAGGTGTAAGGCTGATAAGGCTCATACTGTAAGGATATTGGGAAAGACCTTTTCAGATTATAATAAAGTGAATTTGGTTTTTAAATAGAAATCCCAGGTTTTTTTTCAGATGGAAATTAAATGAACTATTGCTACAGAAAGAAACAATAGTGGAGAGTTGTAAAAAAATTAAAAGAGGTTTTTGAAAATAATTTTAATAAAGGTTCAGATGTAGGAATGGTTTGGGATGCAAGCAAAGCTTTTATGAATTATTACTTCATATGATTTAATAGCGAATTCTCTAATCCATGGGCAGGTCTTTCTATCTTGTCTTGTAATGCCAAGCATGTATCTTTTCATGGCCCTTTGCCACTTTTGGCCTTTGTATTGATTGGGACAAATGAAAGTATACAATATCAAGAGAGTAAAAGAATTGAAATGGAAATGGACTAGTCACATAGCAAGAAGAACTGATGGCAGGTAGACAAAGGCAGTCATAGAATGGATCCCACTTGATTAAAAAGCACCAATAAAAGAGACCTAAAACATGACGGATCGACGACATCAGTAAGTATTGGAGCCCAATTGTCAAAAGGAAGCTCAGGACCATATTGGTTGGAAACATGTGAAAGAGACCTTCATCCTGCAGTGGATTGACAATGGCTAAAATGATGATGAATCGTGAATTCAAAAAGAAAAGGCAAGAAAAAACACAAATTATTTTGGATGAGATAATAAGATGAGGAATTAAAGAAGTTTCCAGACAAGATTAATATTTCTCAACAACCCCACTGCCTAGAACAGCTGATTGGCGGTATTCTGGGAGGCCGATCCAACCGCCAATCAGTTGCTCGGCAGTGAAGGCTCTAGTGTTCCCTGGTGGCAGCAACAGCTCAGCTCAGTTGACCGGTGGTGGGCACAACAGAGCAGAGCCCTGATGAGCCATGTGCTGGGGCTGCGATAACGTGCTGAAACTGACCAGACTTGCTATTTGCTGCAAGGACGCTAGCCAGATGAATACCGGATGGATGCTGGGAGGCAGAGGCAGATTTTTTCCCCCTTGTTTTCCTCCTCTAAAACTAATGTGCGTCTTATGGTCCAGTGTGGCTTATAGTGTGAAAAATACGGTATACTGTTTTCTAGATTATATAGTTAGAAAGTAAGGCAGATATCTATCCTTTTTCTCATGAGCAATCATTTCAGAAATAAGAATGAGTTGTAGGTCTGTTCAGAGAAGATAGTATGTCCCTCCTCCTTCCTTGTTTTTTTCTTTCTCAAAATATAATTAGAATTTAAATTTGTCATAAAGAAAAAAATGGCACAAGAAGATTGATTATGCAGTGCAAACAGAGGTCCTCTATTCTCTAAAGGTATCACACCTTTCCACCCAAGCAATGCCTCCCAACTCACCTGGCATCTAACAGCTTGGGGTCCAGTGGTGGATACATAGATCGGACCACATCATCTACCCTATGAGGAAAACAAAGATGGCTACTTGTAATTTAATAATGTACACATTAAGAAGTGAAATAAAAACTGCTATGTATATGTCTGTCCATCCATCCATCCACTCATTCCTCCCCCTCTCTATCCATCCAGGACAAGGGGGATGGCAGGGAACCAGCACATCTTGCTCCTGTTGAATTGTATGAACCTCACCATGTCTTTCTTGCATTCTGTATATTAGCTTAGTGTGACAAAGTGCACCAAAGATTGTTATCCTACTGTTAGTGAGGACATACATTATCAGGATAACCTCTGCCTACTTTCATATAGAGGGTAGATCTTATGTCTCAGGCAGATGTTGTTAAGGTTAAACTGATGAAATTAAGGTGTTGTGAAGTTCCCAGCCAGGCAAGGGGGAGGGATTATGTGAGAAACTAACTTTGAGCAGGTGCAAGAAACTTAGACCTGACTCCCTCCCCTTAAGTTCCTTGAAATCTTATCTGCTAATTCCCAAGGGAAAGCAACCAGTCTGGGAAGATGCTTGTACAGAACTTATATAGTTTTATGTAGAACACAATAAAATAGTCAACCTGAACCCTTCATATGTGGATCTGGTTGCTTGCACCTGATACAGAGAGATAGAAAGATAAATGTCTCACTGCATCTTAGACTCATAGAAACACAGGGTAGGAAGGGATCTTTGAGGTCACCTAGTCCAACCCCCTGTCGAAGGCAGAATCCTCAACCAGGAAAAATGATTGCCCAATCTTCCTGAAAACCTCCAGCAATGGACTACCCACAACTCAGAAAGAGATAAACTGTTCTAATTGTTTAATTTTCTGTCAGAAAATGCTTCCTTAGTTCCAGGTTGAATCACCTTCTGACAAGCTTCCATCCATTGCTTCTGCCTCAGGTACTATGGAAAATAAACCGTCTTGCCCTCAGGTGCTATGGAGAATAAACTCACTCCCTCTTCCTTGTGACAGCCCTTTTCTTCATGTCAGTCTTGAACCTTCTCTTCGTTAGGCTAATACCTAGTTCCCTTAGCCATTCACTGTATGTTTTAGGCTCCAGATCCCTTATCATCTTTGTTATTCTTCTCTATACTCTTTCTGGGCATTATTAGCATTATTTTTGTATTGTGCTAAGTAGAATTAGGCAGAGTATTTCAAGTGTGGCCTCACTAGTGCAGTATAGAAAGGTACTATCACTTCCTGTGATCTTGATGTTTTTCCTCTGTTGATGTAGTCAGACTGCATTGGCCTTTTTGGAACCTTCAGCACACTCCTTAAGCAGTGGTTCATCTGGACACTTTGATCCCTTTCACAAGTACTACTGTTGAGATAGGTACCACCTATTCTATTCTATGTGCATTTGGTTTTTCCTGCCTAAGTGCAGGATCTTACTTTTCTCACCAATGAATTGTATCTTGATGAATAGGGACCAATGCTCAAAGTCTGTTAAGATCCTTCTGAATTCTGAGTCTGTGTTCCAAAATGTTAACATCTCTCCCATTCAGCTTTGTGTAATCCACCCTTTCAATGCCCTCATCTAGGTCATTTATGATGCTTGAGAGTATTGTACTCAAAACAGAAATTTGAGGTACCTCACTGCATTTTCTTGTTCACAGGAGCATGTATTTCACATGCTCCTGTGAAATACTCAGATACATTTAGCACCCTGAACAGAATTGCAGCCCAGTTTACATATCCCCTTCTCTAAAGCTTTCCTCTTCTATCCTGCAAATCCAGGGGCATTAAAAACAGAGAGGGCAAAGAGCAATAAAAGCAACTGCCCCATTAATGGAAGAATCCCCATCCAAGTATGACCAGTTGAAACAGTCCTTTTCATAGAGAAGTAAATTGCAAACAATAATCCCACAGTAGTATTCTGTACATCCTTCCTTATATTTATTTATTTGGTTTATATCCCTTCTTTTGTTCAGGCTAAAATGGACTTTTCTCTCCAGAGTCCTGCTCCCCTTAAGTTCTTTATAACTCGCACCTTGGGCTGATTCGTTTGGCCACCACAATAATGTCATTCAGGCTTGCTGGGTATTTCATTTGAGCTCCTGACCCCATTGTCATGGCAACAAGCTTCTCGGTGAGAGTGTGGCAGATCTGTTCAAAAAGTAAGATAAATGAGTGTTACATGGGGTGGGAGTTTGTCTGCTACTTAACTGTACTTATTGATTTACATCTGCTTCCTATGGGCTGTGCACCTTCTATCTTCACATTATGATTTTTGAAAAAAAAGAAGAAGAAAGAAATGTACCTTTAGGATAGCAATGCAGTGAGAGACCAGGCCCCTAAGGAAAAAGAAAATAGCAGCAAATTAGAGAAGCACTTCACCAAAAGTCTTCTATTTGGACTCTTCCATGATTTTCTGGTCTTCAGTTTTCCTACTTAGACACAAGATTTTCTGTTTCTGAGCATTCTGAAGGACATTTTGTTCAGCTCACTTGAATAATCTGGCTGTTGTCATCCAAGTTGACAAGTTTCCCTTCAGGAATTGATTAAACAGAACATCAATGCACATTCTGCAGCCAGTGTGTTTTGAAGGGTGAAAAGAAACTGGCATGAAGCATTGATTTTTTTTTCTCCTATAAGAATACATACATTACCTTTGGGGGGTGGGGGTGGGGGTGGGGCTGGCACAGTGGTTAGAATGCAGTATTGCAGGCTAATTCGGCTGACTGCGATTGCCAGCAATTCAGCAGTTCGATTCTCACTGGCTCAAGGTTGACTCAGTCTTCCATCTTTCTGAGGTTGGTAAAGTGAAAACCCAGATTGTTGGGGGCAACATGTTGAATCTATAACCACTTAGAGAGGGCTATAAAGCACTGTGAAGTATATATAAATGCTATTACTATTGCTATTACACATGTGTAAAACCCTCACTGTCAACTTTGAAATTGATTGGACCAATCACAGCCAATTTTCTCCTTTCTCAGCTTGACACACTTTGGAGGGATGAGGGAGGTTTGGAATGTCAAATCAGACATCAACAGCTTCCTTTCTTGTGGGAACCAAGGTTATCACCACAGGTGCTGGTCAGAGACTGGAAGAGGTTACCAAGGAAGACATACCCAGAACACTTAATCGGACAACATGATCTGTGACAACGAGGGAGGGAGCTATCTAATCTTTAATTGTACAGAAATCACAGGAAATAGCCAGAGCTGGTTTTAAGATCGTCCATGCCAAAATGATGTACTCAATAAAGCAGTTTTTTGAGGAAACTGAAAGTCTCGGAGTGCTGACTCATTTGGGTTTGTCAGTTGGAACCTTAACAATAAACCAGCTCCCACTTCTCAAGCTTTAACTAGCAAACAAAACCTCTAGCTTCCTTAGCCCTGGCTACCTACCTGATCACCTTCAGGAAGATGGAGAAGACTCAGGGAAGGTTGCAGAGATGGAAGGGGAGCTGGAGAGAACCCAAGAATGGTGCCCACTGGGACAAAGGTTCGCATATGTTCCAGTGGCCACTCCCCCAGTCGCCCCAGCTCGCAGAGCCATCATATGCTTCTGGTGGCCAGCAGGGCCATAGGGCAGTCAAATGCTAGCACCTGCTCCCCCACCAAGAGGGAGGCCATCTGCTCCCACTGAGCTGAAGAAGCAGCAACAAAAGGGAAGAGAGAGGTTGAGCACAGCACACAAGCCCATAGAGTTATCCTCCCCTAGCCGGCTCCTTATGAGAGTGAAGATGAGAGAGAGGGCAACCCAATGGTAAATGGAGCTGGCTGCCCCTTCTTTGTTCTGGCAAGGATCATAGCACCCAAGTTGGGAGTCCAGGGAGAATTGAAGACACTATAGACATAGGCTGCACCCAATGCTTAATGAACCTGTCCACGGTTCTTAAGCTAAGAATACGAGCGAGGAAGCTGCCTGTCCATGAGGTTCAAGCAGGTAGACTGGTCCCTAATAGGAAGCTCCCCCACAATGTACCTGATTTAGCCCATATGATTGAAGATAGGCAAGCATGTGAGATCATCTGGTTCATAATAATGCCAAAAATGATGGCAGTAATGATTCTGGGGATGTCCTAGAAAAGTGGGGCCTGAGCATATGATGGCAGAAAGGAGAGAGGAAGATGAGCATAAGGAGGGAACTCCCCTCCTTTCCCCATTGGGGACTTGGGGCAGAGGCTGAATGGCAGAGTGAGGAGGCTGGAGGAGGCATGCAGCTGAAAGCAGCTTCAGAATAACAGCCAGAGGCCCAGCTCATCCCCCGAGAGTATCGGAACCTGAAGGGGGTGTTCAGTGAAGAGGAATGCGATGTCCTACACCCCTCCACCGTACCGACTGAGTGATAGAGATCCTGCCAGAGGCAAAACTCCCCAAGCCAAAGATGTATTCTATGACCCCAAAAGAGTTGGAGGATTTGAGAAACTACATTGATAAGAACCTGGCCAGGGGATTCATCCAGCTGGCCAAATCCTGTGTAGCATCCCCCGTACTGTTCAAAGAGGACAGATAGCTGAGGCAATGCATGGATTTTAGGGGAATCAATGAAGTATGTGTGAACCCCTCCCCCTAATGAAGGACATGTTGGGCCATTTGGCCAAAGGGAAGATTTTCATAAAGCTATACCTGAAGGAGGCGTACTACTTAGTGAGAATCAAGGACGGCGACGAGTGGAAGACTGCCTCTAATTGCCCACTGGGGAACTTCCAATTCAAAGTGATGCCGTTTGATCTCCAAGGAGCCCTTGTATTCATGCAGCTAATTAACAAGATACTCCATGAACACATGTACAAGGGGGTCTTAGTGTACCTGAACAACATTCTCATCTTCATTGAAACAATGGAAGAGCACATGAAGTGTGCCAGCTGCTCAAAAGCTTCTAGTGGTGAACCTATAGGCTAAGCCCATGATGGTGAACCTATGGTACGTGTGCCACAGATGGCACGCAGAGCCATATCTGTGGGCACGTGAGCGTTGCCCTAGCTCAGCTCTAGCGCTGGCCAGCTGATTTTTGGGCCTTCCAGTCCCACCAGAAGTCAGGAAACGAACCGTTTCCAGTGAGGAAGGCCATTTTCACCCTCCCCAGGCTCCTAGAAAACCTCTGGAGCCTGGGGAGGGCAAAAAACAGGCCTACTGGGCCCACAGTGCGATCGTGTGCCAAAAGCAGGGGGAACACGGGAGGGTCGTGTGCACATGTATGCATTGAATTATGGGTGTGGGCACAGCACAACCCCCCACTCCCCCCGCTTTTGGCATGCAACTGCAAAAAGGTCATCACTGGATTAAGCTATCTAAGTATGAATTCCACAAGACCTGCATAGACTACCTAGGCTACTGAGTGTCAAGTGAAGGGATGGAGATGGACCCAGAAAAAGGTAAAAGCCATACTCGAGTGGCAGGCTCTCCGAACCCGCAAGCAGCAGCAGATTTTTTTGTGAGTCACAAACTTCTACAGGCAGTTTATCCCCTCTTTTGTCAAGATCGCTCTGCTGATCACTGAGCTGCTGAAGACAGGAAAGGAGGGAGGGAAGCTGCAGCCAAGCCAGCCTCTAACCTGAACGATGGAGTGCCAGGATGCTTTTGAGAAGTTAAAGGGATTGTTTGCTGAGGAACCAGTCCTGAAACACCCTAACTCTGAGAAGCCTTTCATCATCCAGGCTGATGCCGGTGATGCCTGTGTGGGCAGTTCTCTTCCAGAAAAATTGAGAGGGGAAGCTGCAACTATGTGCACATCCTGAAAGCTCACCAAAACAGAGAGACATTGAGCAGTGTAGGAGAAGGAAGCCTTTGCTATCTGATGAGCGCTGCTAACATGGCACCAATTCCTCAAGGAGGGCAAAGTGCCATTTGAGGTATGAACTGATCATAAGAACCTGGAGGTGCTTCGGACTCCCCAAAAACTGTCACCCAAGCAAGTCCAGTGGGAACAATACTTCAACCAATTTGATTTCAAGTGAAATACATCCCAAAGGAGCAAGAATTTCCTAGCGGACGCCCTGTCCCACCTGCCATAATACAAAAGTCGTCAGGAGGAGGTGGTAGACTTTTTCATTCCTTTCCCCCAGAAAGTGGCACAAGTGATGATGAGGCAACAGCTGAGAAGACAGCCAGACCCCAGTGACGAACTGACTCATAGTTCATTGCAATCCGACCCATGGTTCAAGGACCATCGGGAAAAGCTTACACTGAAGGAAGGGCTGGCCTGGAAGGGTGGCATGTTGTATGTCCCCAGCACCCTAAGGCTTAAGTTTTGCAATGAAGCCATGATGCCAAGCAATCAGGCCACTTCAGGTTCCTAAACACCCTGCACTTAGCAAGTAGACAATTTTGGTGTCCGTAAATAAAAAAGACATAGAGAACTACATGAAAAACTGTGCTGTGTGCACGGTGATGAAAAAAAGGCCAAGGAAGAGCCCAGGTTTACTGCAACGGGTAGTTGACCTGACTCGACCATGGGAGGCAATAGTGATGGACTTTATAGTGGAGCTCACAGAGAGCAGGGGAAATACAGTAATCTGGACCGTGATAGACTTTTCTCTAAGCAAGCACACTTCGTCGCCTGCTTGAATCTCCCTTCCACCCAAAGACTGGCCAAGATGTTCCTGCAGCATGTCTGCCAGCTGCATGGGGTGCTGAGAAGAATCATCTTGGACTGGGAAGTCCAGTTCACTGCAAAGTTCTGGAGGAAGTTCATTAAGTTAATTGGGTCATCTCAAGGGCTTAGCTCCACCTTATATCTGAGTTTGAACAGATCTGCAGATTGAGCTAAAGCAATGATAGAACAATATCTGAGGTGCTATGTTAACTATCAGCAATCTAACTGGGCAGATCTCCTGCCATTTGCTGAAGCTGCCTACAATAACAGAGTAGCACACAATTCATTCTCTTTAAAGTAGCCACGGGGGTGGAATTCATCCCCATGCCAGAATACCTGCAGGAACCCCCCTCCTCAGTGAGCCTAATGGAATAGGTGGGTTCCTTACAAAGTGGGGAAATGTAAAACGGGCATTGGCTAAAGCAACAAAAATGCAGAAGGTGCAGGAAGATAAGAGACCATTATCCCAGGGGCTCTTTCACATTGGGGAGAAAGTCTACCTCTCCACAAAAATATCTGAAATTGAAACTACTCCATAAGAAGTTGGGCCCAAAATTCGTAGGACCTTTTTCAATAGTAAAAATAATAAACCCAGGTTCTTGCCTTGGAGGAACCTCTGTGTGCCCTGGCCTTGGCCCATATCTTGGCTGCTGCAGCCAAACTGGCTGTCCTGGGCTTGGTTGATGCCTTGCCAACCAAGTGCTTGCCCTTGCCCTGTCAGGTTGAGGGACCAGGAGCCCTCAGCTGAAAAGGACACCTGCCAGCCAGTGTACTCCGACTCCAGCTAGTTGGTAGGCCTTGAAGCCTAAAGAAGGCCAATCCAGAAAAATAGGCATTGAAACCTCCCACTGGGAGCAAAAGGCTCAGTGTCTGTTACTTCTTACGTCAGTCACCAAGGCAGGCCAGGCCCCCAACCCCTTGGAAAGAGAAAATTAGGGCACAAAGGAAATACTGGTCTGAGTCCAGCGACGAGACAGAAGACAAAATGGCTTCAGTAGACACAAAATGGCTGATTCCAACTGTTGACTAGCAATTCAGCATTCAGGAGCAGGCCCTGCTAGATTAGGCTGCAAAGTGAGCCCACAGGCGATAAACGTGGCTGGTCAATGTCTAGGGCTCCTATCTGCAGCCACAGAGAGCCCCAGTCAGTCACGTGACAGTTCAATAATGCCAGGGGAGTGAAGCCACCCGGACTTATAGCCACAAAGGAAAGCACAGGAAACCGGGCTACAGCTTTAAAAAAAAGTACTCACAATGGGACCGTGCCAGGGAAAGCAAGGCTAGTGCGGTCCGGTGGCTTTGCCTCAAACTCCATGCCACAGCGCTGTCCGTCCACAACACAAATAGCCCCTGCCCAGGCTATAAAAGGCTGGCACGGCCGTAGAATCTCCGGCAGCTGCCTGCAGTCAGAGAGCGAGCCCACTCTACAGCTGACTGGCAGCGATCAAAGGCGGAGTAGGGAAAGCCGTGGCAAGGCTGTAAAAGGCTGGCAGGCTCCAGCGGCTGTATTTCTTTGATGCAGGTAGCTGTATAGACGGGCAAGCAGCCCTTCAAGATACAGCCCCAAACTCAGCCACAGGAGTTGTGGGGAATGGGGGGATGCGGCCCGCCAAAACAGGACACCCCCCCACTCAAATCCATTGCCACAGAGAGCCCTCCCCAGCTGCAAGCAAAATCCAGCAACAGAAGCAAAGAAATACAAAGGGAAAAAGGGAAAAAATGAAATCCAGGGAATTTTTCCAAGCTCAGCTCCTAAACTATGGAGTGAAATAAAATGTGTCCATAAGCTGAGACTGAGTTGAAAAAACTGAGGAATGTCACCAGGGAGGCGGAACCTCAGAAGATTCAACTCAGTCCATAGAGCTAGAGTCTAGAATAACCCAGCCTGGCACCTCCCATTACCACACTATGGAGAAACTGCATGCTTGTTAGGGAAAGTGCGCCCAGTGTTTCATTATAGCCTGCTCAAGCAGGTGGCAAGGTCAGAATTAAGTCCACAACATAACAATGAACATATTATTGCTAAGATTTATAGAATGTTATAGAAATTGAATTTGGAAAATGAACATGTGAAACATTGTATGATTCAGTGGGCAAGGAATTTTGGTTATAATGTGATGCTTGAAGAATGGGAAAATATATGGATGAAGGTCTAAAATTTACATTAAATTATAATTTAAAAGAAACTTTTTATAAGATGATGTATTGTTGGTATTTAACACCAGATAAGTTATTCAAAATTATAAAGGTATGTCAAATGAATGTTGGAAGTGTAAAAACAAAGAAGGGACTTTTTACCATTTATGGTGTACATGTGATAAAGCAAAAAATAAAAAAAAAATTGGACTATGACTTATATTTTAATACTGAAAATGGAGATTAAAATGAAACCAGAACTTTTCCTCTTGGGTCTAATGGAAAAAGAACCAGAGAAAAAAATTGGAACTTTGTTACTATATATGTTGACAGCAGTAAGACTATTGTATGCACAAAAATGGAAGGACACTTCGATTCCTACTATGGAAGAATAGTTGCAGAAGTTGATGGAGTTGGCTGAAATGGCAAAACTGACTACCGATTAAAGAAAAAAACATAAGTACTTTTGTTTCTACATGGAAACTGCTTCTGAATTTCATGCTTGATGTGGAAAAAAAATGAAACTTTGATTTTGGGTTTTACAGATTAGATTGATAGATCTTTACAGAAATGACTTTATACTATTATGGAAAAGCAAAAAGATGTGATCTGCTGTTAATGCCTTAGTCTACTGTAACAGAGAGAATAGGAAATCAATGTTTCTTTTTCTCCCCCCATCCTTCCTCCCACTTCCCCCTCCCTCCCTCCCTATCCTCTTATTTACTTTGGTATTTTACAATACCTTATAACTTAATAAAATGTGATTTAAAAAAAGAACTAAGTCCGCTAGCAAGGTTAGTTCCAGCTCCAATAGTGGTGCAGAGGGAAACCCACTATGAAGTCAAGAGGTTCCTGAATTCCAGGCTACATAAAGGTAAATGTCAATACCTGGTCCAGTGGAAAGGGAGTCCACTAGCAGAGGCTAGATAGGTGAAGGCTAGGGATATGACAGCAAACCACTGAATAAAAAAGTTTCCGGAGAAGTACCCCCAGAAACCAAGAGGCCCTCCCCAAAGTCAGGGGGGACCCAGCGACCACTAATGTGTGTGTGTGCTTTATGTTTTCGAGGTGCTTCTCACTCTTTAGGGGGATCTGACTATCAACTTCGAAATGGATTGGGCCCATCACAGCCAATTTTCTCAGTTTCTCAGCTTGACACACTTTGTGGGGGAACGAGGGAGCTTTGTAATGTTAAACCAGACATCAACAACTTCCTGTCTCATGGGAATCAAGATCATCCCAACAGATGCTGGCCAGAGACTGAAAGAGGTTACCAAGGAGATGCCAGAACACCTAATTGGATGTGACCTGCGACAAGGAGGGAGGGAGCTGTCTAATCTTTAATTGTACTGAAAGTGCAGGAAATAGCCAGAGCTGGTTTTAAGATGATCTGTGCCATAATGATGTACTCAGTAAAGCAGTTCTTTGAGGAAATTGAAAGTCTTGGAGTGCTGACTCGTTCATCAGTCGGAACCTTGACACACACATGTTAAGGCTCAAAGACATTACCTAACTTTATTTTAACAATAAGGAAATTCATACCAATAACTTGCACAAATGACTAATAACTTAGAATTAGGTTTGTTCTAGTCTTTCCCCCAATATACTCTTTCTTATTCCATTTAAATTAATATTGCAAAGATAAGATGCATTGGAAGTATGGGGCCTAAATTCAGCATTCTCAGACAAGGAAAAAGGGTATCAGATGAGATAAGAGCATGCAAAATGTTAGCATGGAAGGACAGAGATAGTAACCACTAGTGGATTTTGAAGGGAAGCAAAAAACAACCTATGTGGCAGATTTGATTAAAAAACAGGGTCTGCCAACAAGGGTCTAATTCTAATATGGAAGCAAAATGGATGTTTAATGTTAATGGTAGTCATAATAAAAGGAAAGTATCATTCAGCTAAAAACAAATATTATTGGATAACAAGGATATTTTCAAAAGGTAACTATTTATCCTATGCAGTTTTTTCTCCCCACCAACATTGGTTTAAAAATGGGTGAAAAAAATATGTGCTTGGGTCAGCTGTATTTGTCAAAAACTTGACTATCAATCCTTTTCAATGTAGTACTTCTGTACTAAGCATTTAAAGAGAGGAATTTGAAGAGATTTTTGGGCTTTATTGTCCCAAATTGCATGCAGCAGAAGAAAAACAATCTCTTCCAGATTATGCAGCCTGTAAGGCATTGCTGCCCAACTTACGAAGCGTCGTCAATCCAGTCCTCATTTGCCAGGATTGCTTCAATATGTGGGTTTGTTATTACCACATCATCCATCTCCAATTCAGAGGGTTCAGACTGTGTCTCCATGGTGCCAGTTAGGTCAACAATAGGCCTAGGAGGAAGCACAAAAGAAATCTAAGGCATTGTTGAGTGTGTGTGTCAAAACACCCCTAATTAAGCTTATTTTTTACCAATAAATTATGTTTTGAGATCAAAATTTACTCATAGAACCCTTAATTGACTGTCATTTATTATTAACAAAAGTCATAGATTAGACATTCCCATTTTGGAATCCTTCACATGTGCTGTGCCTGCAGTGCCTTGACTCCTTAATTTTGGTGATCCTGGTTTCAAATTCTGGAAATTGCTGTCCCAAAACATTCTAGGTCAGTGAATGAATTACTAGAATCCAGAGTTGAAAAATTATCTCACCTGGTATCATAATGACTCAAGAAGTTCTTGGGTCGGCAGTAACGCTGCCTACATACCACAACCAGAGCCACAAAAGAAGCCAGGAAGATGGTTGCCAATACCCCAATAGCTACAATCACAACAGTCTCCATTGATGCTCGTGGTAACCTCAGGGGCTGAACGGACAGTTCAACAGCAAGATGTCTTCAGAAACACTTCTACCTGAATTAAAACTGAATAAAATGAAGTCTTGCTGGTTAAATATACCAGGAATAATGAAACTTGGTTTTCAGTCTTCTTTAAAAAAAAATCTGAGACGCAAGATAAAGATACAGAAGAATTCTGTGTCAAGCAATTTGAATAAGTATTGAACAGAGTTCACAGTCTTTCCAAACAGTAATACAGATCACACTAACTTTTTTCTCAAGCATTATAAGGTTGCTATTAGAACAATAGGGACTTAAATCCTTAAATCTTTGCTAATATGTTGAAATGTTGGGTGATCTACTCATATATCTATATATCTATATTGTGCCCATCCTTACATATTCTTGCTTTTGTTGTTAGTTGTGAAGTTGTGTCCGACCCATCGCAACTCATGGACAACATTCCTCCAGGCCTTCCTGTCCTCCACTATCCTCTGGAATCCATTTAAGCTCACCTACTGCTTCAGTGACTCCATCCAGTCACCTCATTCTCTGTCGTCCGCTTCTTCTTTTGCCCTCAATCATTCCCAGCATTAGGCTCTTCTCCAGTGAGTCCTTCCTTCTCATTAGGTGGCCAAAGTATTTGAGTTTCATCTTCAGGATCTGCCTTCTAAAGAGCAGTCAGGGTTGATCTCATCTGTCAAATGATCTGCTCCCTTTTTTGACTATCGTTATGATTAATTGAAGTATTATACAACTTCATCAAATCTCAAAAAACAAAACAAAACAAAACAAAATCAAAACCCTATAGGAGCTCCTCCATAACAGACAATGAAGAGAACAATAAACGAAGCAACACTGTCATTCCATACATTGTAGGAATATCAGAAAGCTCAGGAGGATCTTTAGCCAACACAACATACAGTACATGCACACTTCAAACCTAAGAATACACTAAGCAGAACTCCTCAGAAACAAACTGAGCAATGTGGTATATGCAGTACAATGCAGTGAGCCACGTGCAGATCTGTACTTTGGGGAAACAAAACAACCACTTCATAAACAGATGGCATGATATAGAAGAACAAACCCATGAGGACAAGATTCAGCAGTCCAGCTGCATTTAAAAGGCAAAAGCCACTCTTTTGAAGAAAGCAAAGTCTACATTTTGGACAGAAAGGACCGCTGGTTTGAAAGAGAGGTCAAAGAGACCATCTATGTCAAAATTGAACAGCCTTCCCTCCACAGAGGGGGAGGGATATAACATCATCTATCTCCAGTCTACAACACAGTCCTTTCAACAGTTCCAAGAAAGCTCCACACCCATTTGCACTACTCAAGTATCTGACAACACAAATATATCTCCAAGTGGCCTCATTGACTCTCTAAAAGAATGCAAATGACCAGCTGTCTTCAAGGAGGATAAAACCTTAAATTCCTCATCATCCAGTCAAAGCTGGAGAAGCTTCTTGGATGAGAAGCGAAATGTCTTCAAAGAAAATCCAGTTGCCTCTTGAAAAAGCACCTTTGGGACATTCTTTGAACAAAATCCACTATCATGGTAGACTTGATTGAAGAAAGTTTTCAATGAAATAAATGGTGTATATGTATCTGTCCAAGAGTCTCTATCCTAAATCATTTTTTCCACATGCCTTTTCAGTAATTTGAAAGCTATCACCTTCCCCAGTACCAACAGTATGCTAATAAATATCTGTTAGTCTTTTACAATTACTGGTTCAGCTTGGAAGTAACAGCCCACCCAAGAGATTCTCCTTTTTATGTCCTGGGACACAAATACAACATCAGTCAACTTGAGATGCCAAAAGTGGAAATTGGTGAGCACTTAACTAGTTTATGATGATGAGTTTTTCCAAACTACCTTCAGTTCTTTCAAATTTCAAAGCAGACTATCCCTCTTGCCATGGTTTGCACTTCATAAATTAGGCAGTTCTGGGAAGATTATATATTTAAACATTTCTAGCAGGTGAAAATAGAACAGTGTTTCAAGGGTGTATGGAATGACTTAGTCCTTCAAGGGCAGGTTGAAGAATCTTCTTTTACTGCATGTTATTGCCAAGGTCTGAAATACTTTAGTAATTGAATAATAATGATACTTCAGATATTGATTTGCATATTGTACTAAGCAACTGTAGGAGATTATCAGACAGAGCCTGAGGCAGTGGTCAAATGTGTCATCAGTCATGAGTCCCTGCATTGCCACAAAATATCTAATCCAACCCACCTTGAATTCCTTTGACTCTTATCCACCACCAATTTGCTGACTGTTAATAGCTCAGATTTTTGTAGAGAGTTTAAGCTTGCAATACATTTTTATACTCACTTGAATTGCACGAATCTCCTGATTTCCCCTGGTGCTTGACATTAATCCGAGCTTTCCCCTATACCAAAATTTTCTCAGGCTCCGGAATACCTTCTAAACCTCAGATCCCAGAGCTGCAGCAATAGCAGATGAGCTGGACCTCCACAATCAACAGTTGCCAAGATGACACTGAAGATGAAATCAGGAATTTTGTAGCCAATTTTCAACAGATGATGCAGCAAATGCAGATCTTGACTCAACAAGGCAATCCTCTGGAACCATAACCACTTTGCTCCACCCACCCAGGCACAACTGCCAGTTCGTGCTGTGTTCATCCCCAAGTCTTCTGGCTGCTTACCATAGAGATTCACTGGTGGTCTAATAAGATGAAAATATTCCTAGCACAGTGAGATATGTTCATCAGCACCCAACCTGGGGAGTTTCCAAAAGGCAGATCAAGAGTCTTCATCACTATCATACTTTTAATTGACTGCCCAGTGGGAGCTTCCACTCATCGAAACCAACAATCCCATCCTGGATAGTTACCCAAATTTCCTCACTACATTTAGGAAGCATTTTGGAGACCATATTCAGATAGAAACTGTCAAACAGTGCATATTCAGATAGAAACTGTCAACAGTGCATCTGCCAAGGTAACAATTTTATGAGAGCATACATTGAACGTTTCAAGCTCATTGCAGCAGATCTGGATGGAATGAGTCAGCCCGAAGAGCATAATTTGAGAAGGAACTCAACCAGTCCATAATCACACAATGGATACAAGGTAATCCCCAGGATCTACAAAATCTCTACCTAGCTACTATAACAGCTGGGTCTTGACTTGCAGAACTTTAAAGCATTTTTTGGCAGCCACAGCCAACCACTTCCAAAGCTGACTTTCCCTGTCTCTACCCCTAGCCTCCCCGCCCCCTTGGATTTGGACACTGAAGAGTTGATGCAAATTGGACCAGCCAGACAAACCTCAGGAGCAGAAGAATTTGAGGATTACTTGTAAATCAGCATTCTGAAGAGTTAACTCTTTTTGTAGCGTAACACATCAATCTTCCACTGTGAACCATTTGGTTACAATACCACAGCCCCAATATTAAATGGAAAAACTAATTTATTGCCTTTGAAAATCCTGAATGCCTTTCTCACTGTGATCAGCCCTCCAAAGCCCCCCACCAGCCCTCCTCCAATGATTCAGAGAGTTTTTCAATTTGACAAGTATATATGCAGACTTTGCTGATGGTTTGAGGAGGAGGAAGCCTTGACCCTCCACACAGGGACTGTGATTGCACCATAAACCTGGTCCCTGGTGCCAAAATTCTCACTAAGAGACAATGCCAAATATCTACTACAGAATTAGAAACTTTAAAACAACATTTGGACTGTAATTTGCAAAAGGGATTCATACAACCCTCCCAGTCGCCTGCTTCAGCATCTATCTTCTTCATACCCAAGAAGCAAGACCCCAGTGTGGCTAAAAATAGTGATAACCTCCCCCCCCAACTGAGAGTGGTCCATGATTATTATAAGGCTTTAAATGCAGTCATAGTAAGAGACCATTATACACTGCCATTAATTCCAGACCTATTAGATAGACTACCGAAAGCAAGCATTTTTACAAGACTAGACTTCCTCAAGCTTACAACCTTATTCGAATAAAATAAGGTGCCTTTGACACCAGATACAGCAAAGTTGAATATAAAGTGCTGTCTTTTAGTCTGTGCAATGTCCTGGGCCTCCTGGCTGTATTTTCTAGATTCATGAATCAAGTTTTTCAAAATTTAATAATTTTGAAAAGAAAAGAGCCTGGTGGCGCAGCAGACTAATAGCCTGTTATTATCATCCAGCTGCCTGCAATTACTGCTAGTTCGAATCTCCCCAGGCTCAAGGTTGACTCAGCCTTCCATCCTTTCTAAGGTAGGTAAATTGAGGACCCAGTTTGTGGGGGAAATAAGCTGACTTTGTATAAATATACAAAAGTATGAAGGCTATTGCTTAACGCATTGTAAGTCGCCCTGAGTCTCCGGAGAAGGGCGGCATATAAATAAAATAAAATAAAATAAAAAATTGTGGTCTTATATTTGGATAATACATACTCAAAGTGCATTAGATCTTTAAGAGAATTGTGGGTGGATGAGGAAGGAGGGGATTAAAAACAGAACCTCCAGGTCCAAGAAAGAAAATAAGTTTCTTTCGGAAAGGCGCCAAGTAGATACTCATTCCCAAATAATGCAAGAAACATTCATTCTCAAAGTCAGTTTCTGTTTTTTTGCAAAGAGATCAAGCACATCTCGCAGGCAAGGAGGGCAGAAGCACTGTCTTACATTTTGATGCATAATCAGGCCGATGGCACCAGTTAAGAGAATGTTAGCCTGCATCCCACCCTGGAGGTGGGTTAAGAATACCTTGGCTGACAATTAGCTGCGTAAGCCTGAATGGCAAGGAATGGAGGCCATGAAACTGGACGGAAATGGCTAGCGCGGTCCCATTTTTTGCATTGGTGAAGGATCTATCAGCAAACTAGATCGCTATGTAAACACAATGCCTCCTGCTGCTGCTATTTTTTATGAAATGTTCACTGTCAGGTAATCCGTTCCAAATAATGTTCTGCCATCTTGAGAACTGACAGAACTACACAAAGTCACTTAGCATTAATGACAACACAAGACATGGGAGAAGAAGAATTGACATTCCAGGCATGTCTGCTGGGGTTCATGATGATCAAACACAGATGGGTAGGTAAGTTTTTTAAAAGCAACAGAACGTTTTTTTCATTAAGAATTCTGCACAGTAGATGCAAATATAAAAGTCACTCCGAATTCATTTCACACGTATAATCGCTGAGCATTTTAGAGCTGTTCTGTAACAGAAGCATGGCCAAAGGCTTAGATTGTTTGGTTAAATATAGTTAAAACACTGCTTTTAAAAAAAATCACCAATCACCAGACGTAAATCACTGAATAGGTTTTCCATAGCATCTTAACGAGCCCAATGGGAATCAAAGGCAATTCACATTCATGATGTGAATTTGTAACACCTTCTTTAAAAAAGACTTTCCACATCCCATTAAGATATCACTTATGTTCTTAGGATAAATCAATGTGATGAGACTTTATACCTTTAGCAGGTAAGAACCTGCTAACGTCTGATTCACGCTCAAGTGGATGTAGGGAGGCACCAGGGAATCCAATTCTCCCAATGTGGGAAGCATAAGAGCAGCAATGCACAGGATTCCTACAAAGATGGTGAGTAAACTAGTCCCGATGAGGCAATTCTATTTTCTGCTGACAGAGAGTCTGCTCCAGAAATACTCTTTTGGTCTGATGCTCCTTCAACCTCTTCTCTTCCTCTTCCTTTTGCTGCTGCTCTTTTGCAATGAGGACCAGAGTAGCAATCACTTCCTTCCCTCCCAGGGCTTTCCTCTGGCTTTGCTCAGAGAACTGGAGTTGAAACTAATCAATCACTCCATAATGGCAAGGTCAGACATCTTGGTGACAAATCATTATATCAATGAAACTCCGAGGCTTCACTGCACTGGCAGCATCCACCACAACATATTTATTTGGAGTTGTACATAGAAATTTGAATTTCAAGGCAAACTCATAGGGGCTGAAGAGAGTCAACACCTGTTTGTGCGTCACCTGGTCATCGCCATAAAATATGAGTTTAGTAAGAAATACAAAGGTGGGAAGTTTCCCTTCTACTAACTCTGGTTGTCTTTTTTGCTGCTGCATTGTCAGCAAGTCCTTCTTTCTTGGTTCTTCTGCACTTAGGGTAGCTCAGTCTCCAAAGACTTCTTGTTCAGAGTGACTTAAGAATCTGAGAGCATTGTGATAAGCCCCACCAATCATACTCGTGTCCCGGACTTGTCTGTGGGCAGCAACTGTGGAGGGAAGTGCCATCATCCTGCCTTGACAGCTCTGGGCCGTCTCCTCTGCAGACTGGCTCGCCAATCTCCTGGATGACATTTTAATTTACTCTCAGAATGAGGCTCAGCATAAGGACCACGTACACCCAGTCCTCAGTAGACTAAGAGATAACCACCTCTTTGCCATGCCAGAAAAATGTGCCTTTGATTTACAACAACTAGACTTCTTGGACTAACGTATTTCCACAAGAGGTGGGACTCCCAGAAAGTCCAAGCTATACTAGACTGGCAAGCCCATCATACAGCCAGAGATGTCCAATGCTTCCTGGGCTTTGCTAGTTTCTACAGGAAATTTATACCAGACTTTGCTCATAAAGCCAAACCACTGACCTAACTGACGAAGAAGGGAATTAAATTCGCTTGAGTCTCTACACACCAATCAGCCTTGGAAAAGTTAAAAGCAGCTCTTTGCATACCTCTTTCCATGTGCCTTCTTTTCCAGAGCCCTGTCTGCCCCCCAAAACAATGCAATTGTGACATGTTTAATAAAGAACTCCTTGCTGTTAAATCAGCATTCCAACACTGGAAATCCTTTCTAGAATGTGCATGTTTTCCTATAGAGGTCAACACTGACCACAGGACTACTGCAACAAACCAAGCCGCTTTCCATCAGACAAGTCAGATGGAATCAATTCTTCTCATGTTTTGATTTCTACCTTAAATGCATCCCAGACTCCAAGAACTTAATGCCAGTTCCGTTCTCTCGCAAACCAGTATAATCTGTTCAAAAGATCCTATAACCAACAACAATTCTACAATCTTCCAATTTTCAGATTCATCAATCACCACCAACCACTGAGATTGGAAGCTACCCAACTGCACCAGGACTTACTCACAAGCATAAAGAAAAAGCCCAACTTTTTCTAGACCACGTCTTTCTCTATGATGGCATGATCTTAGCACTTGTGTCAGACAGAGCTGTGCAATTCCTATCTAGATTTTGGAAAGCACTTTTCCAGCTACTAAATGTCAAGATCTACCTCTCCTCAGCTCACCTGCTTGCCACGAATGGGAAAGCCAGTATTTCACCAAGCATTACTTTATAAAGATGCCTCCCCAAGCCCAATAAGATCCCAGCAACACCCTCCAATGCCAGTAATAAAAGAGGGAGAACTAGAATACGAGGTAGAAGAAATCTTAGACTTTAGAAAAAGAAGCAAAGGTATCCGGCACTTGATTCATTGGAAAGGCTACATGGTTGCAGATCACTCCTGGGAAAATGAACGGTATGTTGATGCCCCTGATTTAGTTTGTTAGTTCCACCAGCACTTCCCTGAAAAGCCAAGTTATCAGCACTCTGCCAATTTCACTGGAGGAACTTGTTGAGGAAGAGGTTAACTAGTCCCTCTGCATTCTTCTGGGGGGAAGAGGGAGACACACCTATGATGCATCTTCCATAACTAGCCTTCAACTCCCGAGAAGGGGTAGGGAGGGAACCTCTAAAGATGTTTGTGTGTTACAGCAACCACCACATGATTCACCAGCTCCTGGAGAGGAGTGGCAGGAGGATTCCTTTGAGACTGCCTCCTTTCCACCCTTGCCAACTTCCCATGAGAACTAAGACTTTGAATGATAGAAGGGGAAAGCAGCACAGAAGAATCCATGGAAGAGGAGAGGGGCCAATATGGAGTGATGTAGGGGATGACCAACCTAGGCCCGAGAGAGGAGGTCAAATGCTTCATCAGTTATGAGTCCCTGTGTGCTCATAAGAGATCTAAGTCCAGCCCATCTTGAATTCCTTTGACTCTTATCTACTGCCAATTTGCTTTGACTGTTAGTAGCTCAGATTCTCAGAGAGCTTAAGCTTGCAATAAATTTTTATATTGTTGAATTGCCTTAATCTTCTGATTTCCCCCGCCCCTTGACAGCAACTATGGTAAAGGATAACGTGTAAAGCCAGTCATTTTAGTTTGTATATCATAATTCAGCATTATATCTATACCAGGCCATTAATGTTTGTAATCTAACTATGGTTAAAAGAACCTTGTCTTATTATTGGTTACATAACACTAACTGTAAAAAACAAGTTGCCACTGAAAGCTTAAGAGCAAAGGAAGTAATTTTTGCCTAATTAGTTATTATTACCATTGTTGTTAAATTTATATAGTATCTTTAATAACTAGAAATCATATATAACTAAAAAAAAAACCTTCTGTATCTGAAAGAGAAACATTACATTTGAATGAAAATTGCTTTCCTTCCAGAGATACTTTTAAAAGGTTTTTAAAGGTTATGTAATAGTGCTAACAAGTGAAACCTGTATCTCAATTCCTTGGGGATTTTAAAAATTGGCAAATATGCGAATTATCAGTTAAAGTCTGGCTGTATTTTATTAAATAAACCCAAATAATAACCCTTAATTGAAGCACCTTCAGTTCTAAATTGCTAAAGCAATCAGGTGAGAGATTATTGTGTTTCGCTTGGTTATACTGTGCAAACAGTACAAAAGTTCGGAAATGAGGTTTTGCTATAGGAAGCCTAACAAATTTAACTTTGGAAACTACAGGTTTTAAAAAAATAAAAAAATCTCACCTGGACTCTGTAGGAATATAGGATCTGCCACCATTACCGGAACTTTAGAGTGAAGAAAGCAACTGAGCAAATAACATTAGTCATGCATGACCTTTACCCCCTCATCCCAACCCACAGCAAATAGGGCAAGAACACATGGAAGGGAAAGATAACTTCCTTGGAAACACTTTTGGCCTGGCAGACATTAGACACTGGCTCAATTGGCTTTTCATGGAAAAAAAGGATGGCACGGAGGTTCACTATGGAGCAGGAGGTTGGCACAGTTTGCAGTTACCATGCAAAGTACAGGCGTGTGATATCCAGTGATAGGATATATGTTTGGCAGAATGTTCAAAATTAAGCCCATTTTGAACTTAAATTATACTGCTTATATAAATCTTGCATTATTAAACATCAAAGCAGATCTCATTATTTGTAATCAATTAGTTCTTATAGTGGATATAATGGGATAGTTTCTCACTGGAAATGTTACTTAGCCATAATTTCTGGCATTTGTGGTCTAATATAAAAATGTAGCTCCCCCGTTCTCTTGCACAACTTGGATTAATTTTTAAGGCATCTTAATCTTCATTTGATCCACATTTGAAAAATTGAGGAGTCTATTGCAGTACGACCATTAAATCGAGAAGATTTTGGAAAATGAAATGGTTAAGATCTTACGGGATTTTAAGAGCCAAACAGATAGGCACCTTATTTGTAGCATGCCTGATATAATAATTATTGAAGAAGAAAAAAAAAAGCCTGCTTCACTGATGTTTCTATTCTGCTGATGCTAGAATTGAGGAGAAGCAATTGGATAAAATTACCAGGATTTGCAGACTGAAGTTGGGTGCTTATGGAAAAGAAATCCAATTGTGAATGGAACCCTCAGAGTGATACCTAAAGGACTACCTTGATATCTGTAAATACTGAACACCCTAATTTTATAAGAGCTGCCCTGCGTGGAACTGCCTATATTCTTAGATGCTATCTCAATATTTCCTACATTCTTGGTTGAGATCTGAATTATTAAGTTTTCATCAATCTTAAACTGTGAATCTAACTGTAGATCACATATACATAATAACAGACAATACAATACCTGGAAACCGTGGAATAGAAAGAAAATTGTGGGTCCCATCCATTACACACAGTGGGACCAAGATAAATCAATGGGTTCCTGTCAATGGAATATCACTCCACTGGAGATAAGATTGGCTCCCATCTTGTTACTTTTCTGGAATGCCTTGAAAATATGGACTGGCAGTAGGCTTAGGGACCTCAAGCTAAAACAAAACCGTCTGCTGCCCCTGTGGGGTGGTTGGGGTGGGTTTTTAGTTGAGGTAAGCAGCTCTGAATCACTGTGGGCCATCATATATATATATTAAATAAATAAATAAAAACTGGAGAAAATTACAAACTACAAGGATACAGTATATTGTAATAGAAATAAAATAACTGCAAATAGAAATAGAACAACTGTGGCAAAATAATGTAAAAGTGATACCAACATTAATAAGCGCCTAGGATGCAATTTCAAAGTATCTGGAGCACCACTTGAACATCATCAGAATTGACAAAATCACCACCAGTCAATTGCAAAAGGCAGGTTTATTTGGAACAGCTTACATCCTGTGATGATATATTTAATATTATTAAACAGTATCTACCTATCCCACATCTGACTAGGTGGCTCAGTGGCTAAGACACTGAGGTTGTCGATCAGAAAGGTTGGCAGTTCAGCGATTCGAATCCCTAGTATAGCTCTCCTGTGTGAGCAGGGGGTTGGACTAGATGACCTCCAAGGTACCTTCCAACTCTGTTACTGTTACTGTCTTTGGGAAGGACTCGATAGGTGGGCAGAAATGCCAAAGTCAGTGTAAACATCTGGTAGATTATGCAAACTACCATAACATGAATGCATATACTGTTTCCAGACGTTTTGGGTGATTTACAATTGTTTAAAAAATCCCTAAACAAAGAATAGTGGAAAGTCTTAATTTATTTTCATTGTTTTTCCAACAGTTTCTGTTATACTCCACTTTTTATGCAAGCATCACAACTTCACTATTATCAGAGAAACTTCGTGGATATTACTAAACCCACTGTCAACACAGCCCCTTTGCAAAAGTCATAACATTAAAGAGAGACATGAAACATGGCAGTTAGGAAGCTTAGGAATTTTGCCCTGGCAACCGCTCGCTCATAACAGTGGCCTTCTCTGAAGCAAAACATCTGGTTTTTTAAAAAAGGATTAGTCTGTGAACTCTGATCATTTCTTACTCCTAAAACAAAAGAGGGATTAAAAAAACCTCTTGCCTCTTTTCAGATCTTTTAACAAAAGTAAATGGAAATGCACCCAAATATAGCTAGAGAATCACCCCTCCCACAAGGTAAAGGCTTCACCTAGAGGCAACAGGGGTGGGGGGGCACACTAAAATAGTTCTTCCCTTTACCTGGGAATATTGTACTGGAGGAGGCCACACCGCTTCACTTGCCAAGAGCCCCTCCAAGCAAGTTCTTTCGAAGGTAAGGCAGGCCTCTTGTCTGCTAGTGCAACTCTTTCAGCCTTCTTGTTAAGTACTGCCTACATTCCTGAGCAAGATAAAACTGAACAGATGCCAGATGGACAGAGGAGAGCTTTGAAAGTGGGCTGGCCATGCATAGGGGATTTGGGGTGGGGTGCTTTCAGCTGAGATGTGGTGTTCAACCTTCCTTGCAGAAGAAAATATCTGCAGTGTATCCAAGAATGAAATATATCATAGTCTGCCTAATAAATACTATAAAGCACCATTTCACAAACTTTTCCATACCACAACCCCCTAAAATGGTAAATGAATGTATGTGACTCCCTCACAAATAATGATTTAACTGGATAGGGTTGGGCAAGAGATAAAAAAACAACAACTTTTATTCAGTAAACTTTACATCCCAAACTTTGTCATAAAACTTCCCATGGCAGTTTTGCAATGGCAAAAGGAAGAGCAGAAGCAGGATGGAGAACCTTGCCACTAGCAGTCCACAAGAAAAGAAATGTTATAATTAGCAAGTTGGTGAAGCCACATTCTATTTTGATGCCACTTCCTCATTTCGATTGTATCTTAGTGCTTTTCTTAATGCTTGGCAACTTTGAGACTTGTTGACTTCTATTTCCCAGGATTCCCCAGCCAGCATATTTTATTGAAGGGTTATTATTGTGTATTTGTTTACTGGATATAAACAGATATCCAGATATGTTTACTTTAGGAGCGGTCACAGTGGAACACTGTGGAACACAGTGGAACACTGTGGTCCAGTTGTAATAACCATTTTAAAAATAGGTTCTGTAGAGGAGATGAAAGAAGTACTATATTCATTAATTTTTATTATCTAATTAAGGCATATGGATCTCAATTTTAGCTTCTGAAGAAGTACGTATAATTAAACAATATTAATCTATTAAACTATATTAGGGAAACTATCCCAACTATATTTTCTGATGTTAATTAGAGGCAGTTTTTTGCATTATATCATAATGGATGCAGTGCCTTCCTCTCTCCATCAAGACGGACCAAAAAAAGTACTATTGTATTAAAATGGGAGAGAGAAAAAATTATCTCCAAAATAGTTTATGGCTTTTCAAAGATGTGTTTGCCATCCATTTGTCAGCAGAATAACTTTCTGTGTACATTCACTACTCTGATTTTCTTTTCAACCTAATGGAATATTGAAAGAAATCATGCAAAGGAGGAGGGTTGGAATTCTTTGTCCCAGGCTGGCATTAGGCTAAGGATGTAGGAGTAGATACTGCCCTAGTTTAATGGAGGGGAAATTTATTTTTATATCGAAATGCTAAACCACTCTAAATCATTCTAAAAGAACAAATCTTCATATCAGCAGGTGATGGTTCCATCAGTCAATGTGGAATCAGGGGTAAAATCCAGCAGGTTCTGACAGGTTCTGGAGAACTGGTAGTGGAAAGTTTGAGTAGTTCAGAGAACTGGCAGCATAAATTTTGAGTAGTTCGAAGAACTGGCAAATACAATGTCTGGCTGGTCCCAGAGTGGGATGGGAATGGAGATTTCGCAATATCCTTCCCCCAGGAGTAGGGAAGGAATAGACATTTTGCAGTATCCTTCCCCTGGAGTGGGGTGGGAATGGAGATTTCGCAGTATCCTTCCCCTGCCACACCCACCAAGCCACGCCCACCAAGCCATGCCCACAGAACCGGTAATAAAAAAAATTGAATTTCACCACTGCCTTGAACTATTTCTGTCTTTGGCTTTCAACAGAATAACTCTCTGAAAACTGAACAGTGTAAGAAATATAAAAGACTGTCTGAAAATGGGTCAGCTTGGAGGTAGTAGAAAAAAAAAAGATCCAGCTAAAATTCCCATTGCATTCCTGTGGGAGAGGCCACTATGAAGCAGCTGTAGATGCACCAGACTCTTTGAGCAGCTTCCAACCAGGGAGTATGCAGTATTTGAGAGGTCAGGTGCTGCAACTCAACCTCTCAATCTTTTGAAGAGCTACTTTGGGCCATTTTGCCAACCATTGTTGGTGATATAACTGTCAGGTTCTACAGTTCATGGGATGCCCTCTTTCACTGTAAATATATATGTGATTATATTGAACTTGGTTTACCCAAGGATCAGATAGACAGATAAGTTGAATTCCACTTTATTCATCTGAAAGTGCAAGTTATCTTACCTCAGATAATTGACACATATATTGGAATAAGCAACTGATATACAGAAATTAATATAACAAATATGTATTCTGAATTACAATGCTAATACTGTGATCATGTATTAGTACTGTGACATTTTATGTCTTGCAGTCAATAAAGTGGGGTCAGAGTAACCAATGTTAACCACATGAAAGTCTGACTTTCTTCAAGCCTATCTCACATTTTCAACAATACTTCATTAAAGAAAAGCCTCCTGAAGATTCAAAATATATTAATTGGCAACTACTTCCCTCAACTCCTTCAGAACAAGCAGTATTGCTTGAAAAATAATTACTTTGGTTGAAAAATAAATCTTTAGATTCACTCATAAAGCCTCCCCTTTCCCCATACTTCCCCCCCCCCCAAATCATGTAGTCAACAAAAGTGTTGAAAATCACTGATGCAGAATGCCATGCCAGGCAATTAGCCCATTACTTGTCCAACAGGGTTTACTCACCCATGTTTCCAACCTACAAAAACAAACTTTTTGAATCCAGCAGAGAAGATTTGCTCGCTTGCCAAATGTTTCTCTCCCAGCTTCATTGTCCCTATCTGTGGCTCTAGCCAATGGCACCTCTTTCCTTATAGCAGCAGGAGTTGTTCTCACATTGAAGCTACTCCATTATACAGTTCTATGTCTAGCTTTCTGGGAATATGTAACTGGTCTGACTAAGGATCTGCTCCATAATCTGATTCTGGAAATACATGTACATCGCTATATTTCCTTCTTCTTCCTGCGGCCTCAATAATGTTGGCCCAAAAACAATTGCAATACTCTGCAGAGACATGCGGTTCTTCTCCCGGAACTCTACAACCCTAGGGGGAAAAAAAGGAAGAACAGCTTGAAGCCATAAGAACAATTCTGCCATGCCACTAGAAGTAAGTGGACTTAAGTTCTAATTTCTTTGGGTTGGATTTAATTTTATCACTTACAATACTTTTATGAAGTACTAGTACTCTTCTATAAAGATGATTACTAACTACTTGCCCTTTTGTGCCCATCTGGCTGCTTAAGTTTCACTGAATATTGTTTCTTTCAAGCAGCATAGCAACTGAAAATGTCGTCAACTAAATTTCTACAGTGGTGCAATCAGGCAGGCAGCCCTGGTGGGATAAGGGAACGAGGTGGGATCTGCTTCCAAGTGGAAAATTAAAGATAGGAAGACCAAAAGGCAAAGAAAACTGTCATAAGAATTGATTCTTGCTTGGAGGCGACTGTGGCTGAAGTAATACATTTAAAAAGGATCTATGGTCACAGGACTGCTTTTATTGTAAAATTACTATTTTAACAGCCCAAACCGATTAAAAGATCTGGAAAATGATGCTGCTCACCTGGAAAGATGCTGGAAGAGAACCCTCAAGGTATTGAAATTAGCAGCAGGTAGAGAATACACAATCTCTCGTAAGTGATGGCTTCGCTTTGCAGAGTCTATCATTTCTGCAGTCCCCCCCCCCAAAAAAGGAGATTTCACTCATTTTGTTCTTTATACGTAGTTTTAAGAAATAACAGTAGATTGTCTAGGTTTTTTCACTGTTATTTTTCACTGCAATGGAAATACAGGACATCATACCGTTATGTACTTTCTTGCCACCCGGTTCTTTCCAGCAGTCAAGAGCAAGGGGAAAGATGCATATTAGATCAGAAGTCACATTCTCCTAATTTGATTTTACAAAAAAGGCTATAACAAGCCTAGTTTGCTAGATGCCATGACTCTTCAGATTCCAAAAGAGTGTATCTTACATAATATTCATGTGTCTCTATGTGTATTTTATGAAGTGCCTGTTTTATTCTCTTTTTTGCTTTTGCTTGTGTCTATGTTTTTTTTTTAATTTGATTTATATGCCCCCCTTCTCCAGAGACTCAGGGCGGCTTACAATGCGTTAAGCAATAGCCTTCATACTTTTGTATATTTATACAAAGTCGGCTTATTGCCCCCATAATCTGGGTCCTCATTTTACCTACCTTAGAAAGGATGGAAGGCTGAGTCAATCTTGAGCCTGGTGAGATTTGAACTTGCAGTAATTGCAGGCAGCAGATGTAAGTGGATGTTAATAACAGTGCTTTAGTCTGCTGAGTCACCAGAGCTCTTTTTAACCCCATATTTTTCTTTTTCTCACAGCTATCTTAGTTCAATAAAAGTATTATTACATGAAATAATAATAATCACAGCTCTCATTTCTTTAGCTGTGTTGGCCTTCATATGCATTGAGTTCTTCCTAAGAAACTAGGAAGTTGTAATGTATTACATAGTATCTATGGGGGATCCCAGCAGAATGGTCTTTTGTAATTGGCAGATGGAAATTTTGTAATGTGCAAATTTTTCATGCACTGTCCAAGATTTTTTGGTATGGCATCCAATGTGACCATAACCACTGGGATCATCAGATCTTGATATTTGTGGTTATTGTTATCTGTATTGATATTGTCACAAGGCACGAGAAGGCAATCTGTTACTTTTCCTAAATAGAGCTCTAATGTGACCTTATTAATCACCTCCTCGTTGCAATTTGCTGATAAAGAAGCACTTTTGGTTTGTAACACTATTTGAATGGAGCTCCTTAAATTATTTATCATTTATTTATTGGTACTCCACCTTTATTATTTTTACAAATAACTCAAGGCAGCGAACATATCCAACACATATTCCTCCTCCTATTTTCCCCACAACAACAATCCTGTAAAATGGGCTGAATGGGCCAAAGTTACCAAGCTGGCTTTCATGGCAAAGGCAAGACTTATTGTCTCATGCTTTCTATCCGGTGACGTAACCACTACAAAACTGGCTCTATATACCATCAATTTAGACTGGGTTTAAACTTAAAATAAATCAATAAACTGGATTTAAATACTATAATTCACAGAAAAATATTCCATTTATTTTTAGTTCTTTTTGTTTTGATCTGGCCATGTCCAGGTTTAATGTTACTCTCTGTCTGCCAACTACCTGGTCACAACTTAAAAACAGTAAATATGATCTTCAGTGCTACAAGATTTGATAAATCTGCTTTTAATGAAAAACAAACCATAGGACAGAGTGGGCAGAATAAAAATAGATCTGTATCTCCTACTATCAATCTAGGTAATGTGCTAGATTGACACAATTTTTAACTCCCAATTGTTTCGACGAGAAACAACTGAAATGTAGATAACATGGAGAAATTAATTTTTATATGCAGAATATTCAAATCACCTTCCTGAATTCAAAATTTCTGAAAATTTCTGAATTCAAAATTCTAGTTCTGCAAGTATTAGTTCAGTTTAGGCATGAAGCCAGCTGATAATTTTGAGGTAGTCAATAGTAAGAAAGAAGTAGCAAGTCGCTTTTGAAATTATTGCCATGAAAATTTCATATATTAGTCCAGGCAGTCAAGACTAGCTCAAAGCCCCCACCCACCCAATTTTGTTGTACTATGATTTGTGGATCTCAGGTGTTCAGTAAAAACATTCTATGTATACCTTGAAGTCTGACCACACCTTAGCTATGGGAGATAAGTCTTACAATCAAAAAAGCTATGGCTTTGATACTTTTATTCAAAGTTAGCCACTAAATAATCCTTTTATCCTTCCCAAGAGTAAAAGATTGTCTTACTAGCAGCAGCAATTAATCTGTCGAAATAGCTGAAGGGGAAGAGCGGTTCAGGCAGTTCGCGGAAGAAGAGTTTGAGTGCCCCAGTGATAACATGAACATCATCCCAGCGGCCACCATCAAGATCCAGATGCTCATCTGCAAAATTAATGAAAATTACAATACAATATGTACACACTCATCCCATGTTCCACAGCACTGAAGATAAAAATAATGATAGCAGTATAGCCATAATTGATTTTTAGACCAACATTTATTCATAATTCTTGGACCAGAGAACAATACAGTAATATGTGCTCCAGAACCACTCTGAAGAAAAAAAGGCAACTCCCTCAAAAGTAAGCAGAGTACACTTAGCTTTCAGAAGGAAGCTAAAATTCAGTTGCATCTGGAGAGCAACTTGGATTAGCTATTATTTTAGTGTTAGAAAGTTCTGTTTAGGTCAAAGTTATTCAATCTTGGCAATCTTACGATGTGTGGACTTCAACTCCCAGTTTGCTGGCTATGGAATTCTGGAAATTAAAGTCTATACATCTTAAAAGTTGCTGTGTTTGAAAATCACTGAGCTAGATATTCCTCACCTTGCTTTATCTAGTGGACACCATGACATGGGAAAGTGGCTCCAAAGGAGAAACTTAGTCAACTGAGGTTGATTCTCGACTCCTTGAGGGCTGCTCCATGCATCCTAATATGTCCATGTGGGTCCAGTAGGATGGGAAACATTTCTTTCATGCTAGAATATCATGCATGATATTCTTTTATTGGACATTCTGACAAAGATGTTGATACCAACATCCATGGACAGTGTCCATGGATGTTGTGGATGTCAAAAGTCTCCACAAAAAATGGACAAACCTGGGATTTTCTACAGGCAATGGACACTATTCCTCACTAAACTATCCCATTTACAAGTCACAGTGGCTTACCATGGTCAACCTTGTAGCGCAAATTTTGTATTGTAGCCAGGTTACCGCTTATCCGATAAAGTCCATCAATATCCAAGCCTGAGAGACAGAGAAATGGCAGCTATTATCTGTATCTCCACAATAGGTGCCAAGCAATGGCCTTTTCTCACACTTTGCATTTATTTTGCTTCAGTACAAAAAACAACAGAGCTTTTAATGAGTCACAAAATCAGAAGGAACAACTCAAAATGTAAATGTTATGGATTTTCTGATCGTTGCGTAATGGATGCACATCACGGAAGTGAAGATGTGGGCTGTCTGGGCTCAGATTTTCAATTTAGGTGAAATGTAGAATATTGCCTTGGTGGTGCAGCAGACTAAAGTGCTGTTAAGTAGCACTTAGCTGCCAGCTGCCTGCAATTACTGCGAGTTCAAAACTCACCAGGCTCAAGGTTGAGTCAGCCTTCCATCCTTCCGAGGTAGGTGAATTGAGGACCCAGATTGTGGGGGCAATAAGCTGACTTTGTATAAAAAAAGAACACCGTTTGGGGGGGAGGGCGAAAGCCCTACTAAGCAGGTATATACGCAAGTATGAAGGCTATTGCTTAACGCATTGTAAGCCGCCCTGAGTCTCCAGAGAAGGGCGGCATATAAATCGAACCAATGAGTAAATAAATAAATTGCATACCTCTTTTCTCCACAGTGGCGATGCACTGCCTGACGAAGTTAGGCACTGTACTCTTTTCACGATCACAGAGAACTTGAAGATCACATCCAAATACCTGATCTGAATTTAAACAACAATATTTTTTTAAAAAAAACCATATCAATTCAAGCAAGAAGGATGAATCACATCGTTTTCTAAATGAATATTCTTCCATTTAGAGAGCAGTATTACCCTGGCAAGCAGTGGTTGAGCCCTTTATAACGTAAATGTTAAAAATATTTAAAATGGCTACAAATGACAAGAAATGATGCACCAACTGTGGGCCTGAGTGGCACTCTGAGGTCATTTTTTAAACAGTATTCTTTCTCTCCAGGGAATTTACCTTTAATGTAGCCTCGGTCTCTCAGGTACTGTAGAGATGGACGCTTCGGCAGAAATTTCCTGAGCACATTGCGGATTTTGTTGGAATCACTGTCAGTACTATGAGAATGCCAGAAAGCTGCAAAGGGACAACTGGCATTAGAATAGTCATATAGGGAATGTAGTATTGTTTTAAAGGTATGCTGAAACTTTTCCTGAATCTTTTAGGGGAGAAAAAAGCAGCAAAAAGAGAAAATATAAGTTTCTCCATCAAGGTTATTTTTAGAGGCTTTTCACACAGTATGCTAGAAGTTCACTTGTTTTGAAAAGAAGACTTTTGGGAGCATGTGCAGTCTTTTAACTGAAAGAATAAAATCAATTCACGAATGCCTTTCTACTGGTTTCTATTCTGTGCTGCTGCCAAGAATATTATGAAATTCAAATCAGTAGAAATGATGCTCGGCTTGAAGGAGAATTCACCTTTACAAATATTCAAAGATCAGCATATAAAAGAAAGAGGATAGGAAAGGAAATAAAGGGTTTCTACTGTCATGCATGGCAAAACTATTACTTTTTAAAATATTATGATTGCTATTATACTACAAATGCCATTGGTCATGTTTATTTTAGTTATATGCCTCTCTTCCTCCTAAACATCAGGAGCCTTATCAAATATGGGGATCTTCTAAGTAAATATCCTTCCTTTCCTGAGCAAGCAGAGCAATCAAAACTTGCAAGGATCCAGACTATCCAGAAGCTATTTCTTGCAGTCTGGTAAGGCACTCTTCCTTAACCATGTGCCCTTCAGGGGTATAGAGCTAGATTTTTTGTATTTCCCACCCATTTAGAGGTAAGTTGGATATATAACAGAGTTTGCTCTATTATGTGTTTATTTTAATCTTCACGTTCTAGGATTGTCTCTTTTTAATTCATATTCAAACCTCCTTCACAACTTGTAAAGAAACACACTCTTTTTCAATATGTGTAACATGCTACAGTTTTAGCCTCCTTCTTAGCCTTTTCCACACACTGCAGCCTTCAGCTGCTGATCTGTATATAAACTATCTGGAAATTTAACTGGCTTACAAAATTCCTTTCTGGATTTCAAACACATTTCCCCCCTCGGTCACACTAATAGTCAGGTGTTCTGTCTCCTACTTCTTTTCCCTTCCCATTCATGAAAGCAAATGCCCAGTGTTTTTATTTTTGTTGGCATGTCTTCTGCAGTTTGAAGAAATTTTTACAACAGTTCTTCCTGTTAGTTGGACTTGAAATAGAAATTTAGTTGAAATCTTTGTCAATTTCACCTAGTTAAAAAAAAAAAAAAATTACAAAACAGGCCAGCATTCATTTTGCTATTTCTCCACCGAATCCCTTGAAAACAAGACAAAACAAAAAAAACAGCTTGCATTGCAGGTTGTCATTGGTGAAACTTGAACATTATTTGTCAGAACTGAAACAAAGGTCCACTGTTGAAAACAAATATCAAACAAATTCTAATTCAGTAGAAACCTTTAATTTTATGGTAACTTGAAGTCCTAAAAAAAGATTCCTGGTTACTAAATCCTCTTTAAGTATTTTAGGTAAAAAAGGGATTAATAAATCCTAATCCTGAAAAAACTATTATGTATCTGTGGATAAGTATGCCTATGGTATTGAGGACTAGTTAAGCTGCAAACATATGTGATGTTTCTATTTTAATTTTCATCACATATTGAATTACTGTTGTCAACTCAGATCACATACATTTGCCAATAAACAGAGCACAGACCTGGATGCTTTTTCTCACTTTCTTTCTCTTTGTTCCCTCCTGTTTGTTCCTTGGATTTTACAGTTGCTAAAGTATAAGCATCCTCTTCCAAAGGGAAATCTATAGACTGAAAGAAAGAAATACAGAAAAAATTACTGTCATACCTGCCAAAAAGCTAGGAGAACTGTGAAATCCTAATATTGCCAATCCCCCTGGCAATTGGCAAATATTACATCTTTCCCTTCTCCCCCCTCTTTTTTTTGGACAGACAACAATGATAGTAGTACCAAATATTCAAAGATCAATATATAAAGGAAAGAGGATAGAAAAAGAAATAGAGGGTTTCTACTGTCTTGCATGGAAAAGTATTATTTTTAAAAATATGGAAGAAGAAGAGGACGACAGAGAATGAGGTGGCTGGATGGAGTCACTGAAGCTGTAGGCGTGAGCTTAAATGGACTCCAGAGGATGGTGGAGGACAGGAAGGCCTGGAGGAATGTTGTCCATGAGGTCGCGATGGGTCAGACATGACTTCGCAACTAACAACAACAACAATGGAAGGTTTACAAATGAAAATGAGTCTCATCTGGATGCTCCTATGAAACCCCATGAATGAGGCAGAGCAATGGCAGAAAAAAAGCATTACTCTGTGTGCAAAAACCACAAAGAAAGTTTGAGTGCATGTTAAGTTTAATAACAAGTTTTCCACACATTTGTGTTGTACCAGTTTGCTCATTGCTGAAGAGAAGGGGAAACTTTTTATCAGTTGCCATCCCTTCTCCTTTTATCTGAGCTCATAAAGAAGAAAGTTTTTAAAACAAAATTACATTTACAGGTCTTAAAGCTCAGGAATTGCTGTATTTCCCCACCAGAGCGTTTAAAGCTGCACTGTAAAAAAAAACCCAAGGCTTTTCTAACAGAAAGAAAGTACTTATATTGCACTGGCATAAGGGAATATTTTTTTAAAAAAATCCCTTCTTCTGATGCTCTTAAATGCCCGTGATCTGCATGGAATTTACTTACATTTAGGAACCTCAACATAAAAAAATAACCCAGAGATTTTAACTTTACCATATTGTATGTTAGGAGTAAGACATATGTACCCTTCCAGGTTCAACTCCCAGCAATGCCAGTTAGCATAGCCAATGATGAGAACTGTAGTTTAATAATCTCTGAAAAGGCTAAATATGGAACCATAACACAACATCTATATATTTCTGCTTTGAGAGTTTAAGTGAAGGTGGATTATACATACCATCCTGACAATTCCCACCCTGTGCTAACAGTATATGAAAAAGATTCCTGGTTCATTTGGGGTAGCATAGATTCAGTAACAAGTGACGTACCAGTCTGCCAATTCTATTATTAATTGCAGTGTACCACATGTTGGCAATGGAGTCCAAATCATGTTGGATCAAATACTCTGAGCCATCCTGTGTCTTCAGCTACAACAAAACAAGCATTTGTATGTAATATCTAAAAGTTGTTCTCCACAAACATTGAAAATTGCTCTAATTTACCAAACTACACTTGCAAGTCTTCATTGGTTTTTAACATTATTTTATGAGTGACTTAGGATATAGCACATTGCATTTCCATAATAGCAATCCATATCAAGAAATAATTAAACCGATTCTTTAACAGCAAGCTAGCTCCGACAAAAGATGGGGTGCTTTGGAGACCCCTTCCCCATCATAACTACAGGTTCAGGAGTTGGTTGCCTACAGGGGTGGATTCTACTTACCTTTACTACTGGTTTGCAATGGGGCTGTGCACGTGCACGCTTCGCTCCCTCTCTGCACATGCGCATGTGCAGAAGCATTTTGGTGACATCGGGGTTGGTGGGTGGGGCGTCCTGCTGGTTTTACTATCGGTTCTATAGAACCAGTGCAAACCAGGGGCAACCCATCACTGGTTGCCTAATATCCCTTAACATTTTTCTCCAAACAGTGACTGTGTCAATAAGAGAAATGTCTTTTAATTTTGCCATATATAGCAGAAATGGTCCAGGGAATAGAGTAATTTTTCCTTCTCTCTAAACTCTGGCGTACTTGACAATGATGGCCATTATTTCTTACCTCCAAGACATTCTTCCTACTTGACCTGTCTTTGTGGGCCCAGGAAAGAGATGCTCCACGAAGATCCACTGTAAACTCTGGGCTACTTAGCACAGAGGGATACTTCTGAATATGCAAAGAAGAAAAGTAGAAGTAACACAAATGTTCAGATTGGACCATTACTCACTGACCTCTCATCTTCCTTTATCACATTATATCTATCCAGTATACAAATTATTCTATTCTGACTAATATATCTTGCTTCCAAAGACATCCAGATTTTTGGCCAAACTATGCTGTGTGAATAAGATTTTAGTTATGCATACATATTTCTAACCAATTGGTGTGAATATAAATGAAAACAAAGTTTCTAATTTAAAGTAAGGTTTAGCTATTAGAAATGAAAGTTCACAGAGGCAACTATCTCCATCATTGTGTGCTCCAGAAATGTTAAAATAATACTTTATCACACAGCTAACATTACCAATGGCAAGATGGTTGGGAATAATAAGGAAAAATTGCATTCCAACTAGCCTATTAATTTGATAAGAGAGGATGTATGGGATAGTAACCTTTTTGGCATACTTTATGGAAAACATTTATCCTATTGTTCCAACAAAATGTTTAAGGAAGCAAGGAATAGACATAAAGAAAAAAAGGGTCATCATTTAAAAGATTAAATAAATTTTAGCAAATACATAATTGGGCATACCGTAGTAACAACTTTCAGGGCTTCCAAAAAAAGAGAAAAAACAATGAATCAAATACATAAAATAAGGGAGGGAGACTAAAATGAAAGAAAGGTTTATTCTGAAATTCCACACTAGGATGACTCATATGAAATTTATTAGTATCTAATTAAGTTTTATCCAATAAAGACGCAAGAAAGAGAACTTCAAAGCAATTTGGTATTTTTAAAAGTTATTTTATATACAGTGTAATTGTCCAAGTCTTCCTCATACTAGTTTTGCTTTACTTTTAATGTTGTGCCATATTATTAACACAATTACAGATGTTTTTTCTGAGCGGACATATATATTTTAAAAAATAATTAGTAAAAATTATACAAGTCAAACAGAAATTTTAGTCACACTCATAGACAAACACATATTTTGAAGTCTAGAAATGGATTTTTGCTATCCAAATGCAACTGTGAGATGAGAAGACAAGACTCCTGAAGATACCTTAAGAATCGGGCAGCTTCATATAAAGGAAGATGATTTTTAAATTAAATGTATTTATAAATTTGAATTTCTTCTCCAACTCTCTATTCTACCGTAATATTAGCTGGTTATCTCAGATCAGGAAGCTAAAGCTGAAGACTTACTGCACCGCTGGAAGCTGAATGCTTGGAGTCCTTGAAAAATATTAAGGCACCACCTTCCAAGACTGTCCATACACAGGCCCAGTTCTTCCTAAAAGAAGGTAAAGACAGGACACACCATAGGTAGGCATAAAAACTGAAGAGTAAGAGTTTGGAAAAAAATAGTGTAACTATACAAACATAGGCATCAATATTCCCTCTTTCTCTCATCATTTTTCAACACACATTACTCTTAATAATCTACATACAAAAGGAGTACGTCTCTATGAATGATCAACTCAGTCATCATGAAAAATAGGCTCAAAATAGTATGCCGTACAGACAGATGGACAGACAATATTCTGAGGGAGACAGAATCAGGCAGCCAATAATTCCGTTCCAAATTGCTCACAAGTAAATAAAAAAGGAGTGGGCGGAAAAGCTGAGAAGCGGGTTACTGTTCTGCAATGAGTGCCTTTATTCAGGGGAATGTAGACCCATTTAATTCTTGAAAACGTGCCAAACAAGGCAACTGGCATTTGGCAAACACCTTCCTTTCTTAAAATGGCTTAAAGCAGCTTTTAATTTTATTATTGATTAATAATAAACTTTTGATTATTTGCTTTATTTAAATTCAACCTTGCTTGCTTTTACTTAATTAGTAATGATTTGTTAGTGAATTTATTAGTGATGCATTCCCTCCCCAAAAATATGCCTAAGTCTTTGAAATGATGCTCTACCTTGCCTCAACCAGAATTTTTCAAATAGTTTTACAGAACGATGATGCCCACTACACACTTTTGGTTACAGCCTTGCCTTTCATTTCATTTCAATGGTAACACATATATGTTTAAGGAAGATTTCTTTGGGTGGACTGGAGGGAACTCAATGGCTACCACTACTTTCCTTGTATGTAGTGATTCAGGAATATGGTTTTATTTCCAAGTCTTCCTCATACTAGTGGCTAAAAACTTATGCCAATCTAGAGACAAGGAATTAAAATGCCTAAGAATTATCTGATAGCTAGGCTGCTATTGACCGGAGAAGGAGATTTATCTTATGCCTTGAATGACTGAATAAGGAGGAAGCAGGACCTTAGAAGGCAACATCAACTGATCTATTCCACAACTGTAAGTGCTTATTGTTTGAATTTTTCAAAAACCCATATTTTTAATAGAGTAATTCCAGTTCCAAGCAAGAAAAAAAGTACTATTCCAAACATCCTTCTTGGCTCTCCCTACATCAGAAAGCCTGAAATAAGTCCACAAACATACACAACAGGCCCCTCTTACCTCATGCGTTTCCCTTTATCAGCCGTTCTTGTCCGATACATCATCCCAGCTTTCTCAAGAGATTTCAGCTAGGGCGGTGGAGAAAAAGAAATGGTGATTTAATCTTGTCTTAGTAGCTGTGGAAAACCCCATCATCAGAGCAAAGAACCACTCGGAGGCTTCAGCTGATGCAGAATGCAGCTGCACAGGTAGTAATGGGAGTGTCCTGATGCTCCCATATCACATCCTTCCTGCGTGACCTGCATTGGCTACCGGTTGCCCTCCGGATGAGGTTCAAGGTGTTGGTGATTACCTATAAAGCCCTACATGGCTTAGGCCCAGGGTATTTGGCAAATCATCTGCGGCCAGCAACAGCTCCCCATCGCCCAGTGCACTCACACAGAGAGGGACTACTTGGGGTCCTGTCGGCCAAGCAATGCCGGCTGACGGCCCCTAGAGAGCGAGCCTTCTCTGTAGGCGCACCTACCCCCTGGAATCAGCTCCCCTTGGAGCTCCGGGTGGCCCTGACCTTCGCTTTTTCCGCCATGACCTTAAAACATGGTTGTTTCGCCAGGCTGGTCTGGACTGAATGGGGTTTTAATGGGAATTTTAGTTTCTTTTATTGTTTGAATTTTAATCTGGACTTGTTGCTGTTTATTGTTGTGAGCCTCCCTGAGTCTTGTGGAGAAAGGGCGGCATATAAGTCCGATAAAATAAATAAATAAAATAAATAAAATAAAATAAAATAAAATAAAATAAAATAAAATAAAATAAAATAAAATAAAATAAAATAAAATAAAATAAAATAAAATAAAATAAATAAAATAAAATAAAATAAATAAATAAATAAATAAATTAGACAGGGTCAGCACCTTCCTTAGAGAGAAAATAATTCTAGAGTTTCTTCTACTGCAGTGAGGCTTGGATTCTTACTTACAATTTAAGGAGATAAGATTAGGAAATGGACAATGTGGAAATTGTAATTGCAGGCACTAAGTGGCTGTTTGAAAGTGGCAGCTTGTTTGGCCATCCTATTCCCATCATTCCCTCCATCTTTCCAAAAGTTTCTCCTGGTTCAAAGTATGCAAAGGATCAGGAGAACCTTTGGCTTCTCCATTTAATTTATCAAAACCCCACTTCAAATCTGCCATCAGCAAGCAGAGACCCTTTCTTCCATACCTGCTCATCTTTTGACCCAGGGTGAACTGATTGGCTGGGGGACCAACTTGCAAAAGGACTGCTGCCACGACTAGATCCACTACTGGTGCTCTGGCGATTGCCAGAAGTGGTCACCTAAGTATAATAATTTTAGCAGCAGTAAACAACATACAGGCACTCATACCACAGTTCTCCAGGATCATGATTTACTGTTTTGTTACACCCAGGTTTGTATTTACACCTATCAATAGGCAACCCATTTTGCCTCCTCTTACTTTCAGCAGATGAATTGGTATGCTAACTGATTAAATTTTAGAATCTGTTTTACTGATTGGCATTTTACTGTGTCCATTTCATTCAGTGACTGGGATCATACTGTAGAGGCAAATGGTGGTTTGCTTAATTATGGGGTTCTGAATAAATTATGATGGCTGGAGATATACATTATAGAGTAAATACTTTGTTCTATCTGATTACATATTGTTTTAATTTAAACAGCTCCGATTCTATTAGAATGCCTCAGCCTCATTGTAAAATTAATCTTGTAGTGACAGAATCATAGGATTGGAATGACCTTGGAGGTCTTCTAGTTCAACCATTTGCCCAGGGCAGGTATCCTCAGATATGCCCAACTGGCTTCCCAACTTTTGTTTGAAAACCTCTAGTGAGGGAGTATCCACACTACCAGGAAGTAAGCCAGGCCATTGTTTAATAGTTCTCATGGTCTGGAAATTCCTCGTTTCCCTCTATGCACCAACTCCCAGTCTTTCCAAGATATTCTTACCATGCCTGGGACATCAAACAGTGATGTTTCCAGGATGCCAGGGGAAGCACAACCCTGGTCTGCTGAAGGAATACCAGCATAGTCAAAGTGTTTGTAGGAGCCATCTGGAGAATAACCTTCCTTTGGAGAAAGTTCACGAGGAGATAGTTTTGGGTAATCAGTTTCTGGAGTTGGTGGCTGAAAAAAAATATTAGAAAAGAGGTCAATACACAAACAACTTTTCTTCTTCCTTAAACAGTTGAGAGATTTCTTTTCCTAAGGCTTGAGAATTATGGAACAGCCACCCCAAAATCCAGTTGACTCCAATCCTCCTGGACTCTAAAAAAGTCCTGAAGATCTGCTTCTTCTCCAGGTATTAGCCCAGGTATAATTATGAGTTGTGGGCCTGATCCCCCCCGATCCACCACAATATATTTTATTTTACTTTATTATTTTATCATTTTTCTTTGTCTTTGATGTTTTTAATAGATTTCTCCTCTCATCCACTTACTCTCCGATCTGGAGATTTCCTAGTAAATGCATGCCGCATCTCTGGAGGATTGAAAATTTCTTGGGGTGCCTCCCACGAAGTTTCACCTGTGGCTGCGTTATAGAAAAATATTTGCCCACTGGCCTCATCTACATATTGGTTCCACTCAGCAGATGAGACAGGGCTGGGACAGTGAGAGTGGGAAAGACTCACACTATTCAAGGAAGCCCCAAAGGGGGACTCCCAAGTTGTCTGACCAGTCACAGAATTGTAATAGAAGAAATGACCGCTTTCGGTGTCGGTGTGAATTTCCCAGTCGTTCAAAGGGTTGCTGAAGCACAGCTGGAATGGGGATTGGGAATCGTTGGCAGTGGTAGTACTGTGCTCCAACTGAAGTTCTTGTATATTCACATATATTGGATCTGTGGCCACATCTTCAAGCAACTATAAAAACAATAAAGAAAAGTAATTCAACCACCTCATTGTATGAAACCTATCCCTTAACCAGCTCTCTGAATGGCTTAAACTTCTATAATTCCTGTCTAGTTACTAAGGAGCCAGGATTATGAAATCACACTTCAAAATGTAATAATTAAAAATAGTCTAATAAAGTCTATAAAAAAACAAAAAAACCATTGTAACAAAGACCAAAAGAAATCAGATAATATACAAGTTAAGGAAATATTCAAAAATGTAATTATTCAGTATTCAGTATTTCTGCTCCAAAAGACCTTTGTACAAATTAAATAAATCTTAAAGACTCTGTGTATTAAATGTGGAAAATAATCTTGGCAAATATCATGACAACAATTATTTTGAGATGTAATGCTGCTTCTTGCAATGGCCTGACTTTTTATACTAATAAGCAAACAATTCATTAAGCACGTCCACTCCAATGTTTTTGCTATCTTACTCAAAAGTAAATCAAGCCAGCAATGTACCTCTTCTCAGATCTGTCACTGTTCCTTTTGATGACTCATTACATTTTTATTAGTATGCTTCTAACATTTCAAAAATAGAGTAATATTTACAACTTATCTCTTCCAGCTTCTTATTTTTACCATGACAATTGTCCTTGGTTTGGATGATATTTAAATTGATAGTTAACATTTTCTATAACGTCAGAGTATTTTCCATCCAACCCTTCTGTTCTCACCTTTATACTTGTGTCTTTTAACAGTACCTAGGTGTGCAGAACTTATCAATGAACAAGCATATTGTTTTGCCAAAGATGCAATGTTTTCTCACCTGCTGTCTTCAACTCTATTAAACAATCAAACTGATTTACTGATAAACTCCAGTAAATATTAGTTATATATTAAGCATATTATAGATCTATAGCAAAGAAAAAGTTTGAAATCCAAAATAAAAGTTGAACAAAAAATATTTTCTCTGGATTCTGCTTTTTAACTCTGATCTTCAGTTTTCCCTTTCAAATTATCTTAACTCAATTTGATGCTATAATTGGAATTTCTATTGTTCTATCTTGCAAATGTATCTACTAAGTGTATACTTCTACATCAACTGCAGTGTTATGGCAACCTTGTCAAATCCAGTTCTTAGATACACTGAACTTCTGTTCCCATAATTGACAACCTATTATGTAAGAGAGATACAGAAGATAAAATAGAAATTTAGATAATTTTCCTGGTCAGAAATGAGAAAGCACTTAATTGGCTACATGAAGAAGTCTTTTTCCCCCCCAACCTTTTCCTTTCAATATTTTTCTGCCATTTAGACTATGACATGAAAAATAAATCACACTGCCCAGATGAGGTTTAACTGAAATCACAGTTAAACTTTTGGTCTGGATTAGAATGAAGACCAAAGAAACAAAATGACCAGATTCAAGCCCCTGGAATTTAATTTAGTGAGAATTAATCTGATGATTACCAACTTCTAATGTGATTAAAATCATTGAGGGCTATTTTTACAGCCCCCAATGTACAGCCCCAGCTTACAATCTTGAATAGTCTTCCTCAGCCGAATATATTCTTGATTTGGTGGACACTTCTCCTAGCTATCTTTACTCAGTATGGCAATTTGTACTACTGGCAGAGAATGAGGAAAACTGTAATCTAGCAATTTACAGAATACCGAGTAGAAGGAATCTATAGAAATAAAGATTTTCAAGAAAAAGAAAGCTGTGAATCAAGATTAACAAAGATAGCCATGAAGTCATGAATATTAGAGAATTAAGGTTTAGAAATGTTTGATATGGACATTGGGCAGAGAAAATGATTCTGCTATATATTGGTACACAGAGTAGACACACAAATTACTTTCAACATCAATAAGCAAGCCAACAAACTCTGAACTATCTTTGAACTGGGGAAGTTGCTGATTTATTCTTGGGCATGTAAGTACTGAGGACAGGAGGTAAAAACAGATCCAAGTTGTTCAACAATTCAGTGGTACCAAGATAGGGTTGCCTGCCAAAGAAAAATCTATCACACTGAAGCAGAATGCTCAACTCCATAGCTTATCAGATCTTCATGAGTTACAAGGAAGGGAACATAGAAACATTTCCCCAGATATAATATCTACTACTTCTATGAAAATCTGTCAGAGAGGATCTCATTCCAAAGGTGGACATGGACAGAAGAGGATATACCACAAATAATGTAACTGTTGCATTTGTTTGAGATGTGCAGACATTTACATTTATCCCTGCCTATGTACTGCATGAAAAGCCAGTTTAGTGCAGTGGTTAAGGCATCAGGCTAGAAACTGAGAAACCATGAGTCTGAGGCACAAAGCTAACCGAGTGACCAATTCATTCAAAAATAGGCTGGATTTGCACAAATCTGTGGTAGACTAGAATGGCATAGTTTGTAGTGCAACTTGCTGTGGCAGGTCAATCATCATTTTAGCATGAAATATTCAGTAGCATCTTTTCCCCAAATGTTATTTGCTATATGCTGCCTGCTGCTTTTTTTCCTCCAATTTTAGAGGATAGTTTTTCTTCCTGGTCAGAAAGAGCAAGTTAAGGCAGAAAGAGAGTATGTTCAAAACATTATGGATATTTGGCAACCTAACTGCTGATAATAATAAAATAAATAAAATAATAAAATGGGTTATGTGTTTTCAGCCACAGAGTGGGTGAGGCAATATTTAGAACCTCTCCTGCTTAAATCCAGTCTAGATCAGCTGTAATCTGCTGAGGGGTTCATGTTTTATAAGTGTTTTTTTGCAAATCTCTAGAGACTTGATCATGTGGTTTAAGTAGGAATTCCTACATTCTAATTTCATTCTTTTCTCTCCTTTTCTTTCTGTACATGCTCACAGCCAGTATTTCTCTCCCTTAGAATTACCATTAAAAGCTGGGTTCTAGAGAAAAAAAAATACACACAGAAAGGCATGAAGACCCCATATTTTACACAGGAGAGACAGTAGACTTGTGATTGTTATGTATAACTGTTTAACAGTGCCCCCTTGAGTTCATTTTTCTTCATTTGCACAGAATGACAGCCCAAAATAACTAACCTGCTTCTTCTCTTACTTCCTGTAAAGATAATTAGCCTCTTAAACTATTCCTTCTCCTTTACCTTTTGCATGCCAATTTTCTCCTTTTTGTCAATATTCTTTAAGAACAGAATGCAATGATCAGGTAAGGGAGCACATAAACTGCCACCTTCTACATGTTTTAAACTAATAATCTTTAACCTATGGTCACTCTAACTAGTAATCATAGAGCTTAGTTCAAAACATCTGAAGGACATCAGGGGTTGCCTATCTTGTTCCACCAATTTCTATTTTGGTTTATTGGTTTCAAGTAGTTCTGACAATAAGAACAAATCATAGTACATTCTAATTTGCACATTTTAGAAAGACAGAGTTAAGAATAGTCATTCCTATCTGCCCACCTTCTGGATTTAGCAAAGACAAGAAACTGTGAAACTATAACATCGAAGCGATGTTAGCCCTTCGAGATACTCCAGAGAGGAAACCAAAACTATGAGCACTAAAGCTATCTTGATTGTAAGGTTATGGTAACAGACTCTTGCAAACCTGAAAACCCTCTCACACCACTTTTTCTTTCCAGATAATTCTGGGACAGGAGAGATGCTTATTCCAACTCCATTCCTCTATTTTTCAGGCAATTACCTAGGCTGTGGCTCTTCCTCCTGTCTCCCACCGTTATTTTCACAGCCCATCACATGAGATCACCAATTTGTATGTTGTTCATCTATTCACAGTGCTTATGAGCTACTGTATTTCCAAAGACTCCAGGAGATCAAAGAAAAAGCTTATTTACACAGTGCATAATTAATCTAAGAACTTTACTGCCAACAAGATGTAATGAGAGCCATTTATTAGATTAATTTAAGAAGCAAAAATACCTCTTTAATATTATCGCAATGAAAATAGGGAACCAAAATATTACAAGGCAGCATGTAAATTCATCAACATTGTAATCATTATGTGGCATATTTAGTTGTAGTTAAGATCCCCGCCCCCCACCCCCCATCCGTTTTTTACAGAGCACTGCTTTTGTTACAACTATCTCACAAGCAGAAATTCAGCGTGTAGACAATGAAGATTCAGTGATAGATAGAAATTGAGTAAACAGGTTAGTACAGGGCAGAAGAACTTTCTTAGAGCCCACTCTTGCAAGTTTTTGCTACACTCTTGCATTTTGAAAGCAGTATGTTATTTCTTCACTAAGAATTGGCTTGAATGTATCCATCCATTTCTGGCCCAACCTCTCAATAGGTCCTGGACAGTCTTCAAGCAAAGCTTAGCAGTCTTTTGACTTAAAGGGCAATATTCTACCCTTCCCATTGCCATACCTCAGATGAGTCTGATGTCCGGGGTGATTTATGCCAGGAAAGTGAGCTAGGAATCCAGTCTCCCATTGCTAATACAACTCAAGAAGATCCGTCTAAAGCTTAGAAGCAGTGCCTTCACCGAAGGAAAATGGCAGAGTGGGGGGGGGGAATTGCTTTCTCAACCACAGGCCAATCAAAAGACAGAAAGCAACACAACATAAAGTGCAAAACAAGAACTCAGCCTCTGCCTTTCACATGCTTCCTGTTGGGGTTTGTGGGATAAAATGGTTACTGTTGTAATGAGTTATATCTAATGTTCTTTTCTAGCATTTTGTGGCAGCTCACTAAAATCCCTTCCTCTTTCTCTACACTAATAGGAATAAAAGAAAAGCTTACCTATGTGTCAGAACAGCAAAAACTCAACTTTTTTTTTTTAAATGAGGGAGCCCTTTGCCTAAATTTTAATTGAATGAAGGTAGGTTACAATTATTCATTGAACCAGACAATTCAAGTTTATAGTAGGCTTTGAGATTATTTTTTTACTTCCAAAAGCCAGAAAGGAAAATTATTTTGCAGGATAAAAAGAGGGGCAAGCCAGAGGACTAAGAGACAATTATGGATAGTATATGTCTTAAGACCCAGTACTGATAGAAACGTGTCTTATTTAAATCC